CAGGGATAAATCCTACCTGGTCATGGGGTGTAATGCACTTAATACAGTTGAATTGTTTGCTAGAACTTTTACATCAATGTTCGTAAAAATACTGGTCTGTAGTTTTCTTACCTTGTACTGTTTTGGGCTTTGGAATCAGGGCTATGCTGGCTTCTTAGAAGGAGTTAAAAAGTGCTTCTTCAAGTTTTTGTCAAAGTTTGAGGATTGGTATCCATTTTCTTTTTTTTTTTCTGTTTAATATATTCTATTGATTATGCCATTACAGTTGTCCCATTTCCCCCCTTCATTCCCCTCCACCCAGCATACCCTCTCCCCAACCATTCCCCCCCCATTTATGTCCATGTGTCACAAGTTCTTTAGATTCTATATTTCCCATACTATCCTTGCCCTCCCCCCTATTTTCTACCTACTGTCTATGCTACTTATTCTCTGTACCTTCTCCCCCCTTCTCCTCCTCCCACTCCTCTGTTGCTAACCCTCCATGTGATCTCCATTTCTGTGGCTCCGCTCCTGATCTAGCTGTTCTCTTAGTTTGCTTTTGTTTTAGGTGTGGTTGTTAATAACTGTGACTTTGCTGTCCTTTCACTGTTCATCTTTTTTATCTTCTTTTTCTTAGGTAAGTCCCTTTAACATTTCATATAATAAGGGCTTGGTGATGATGAACTCCTTCAACTTGACCTTATCTGAGAGGCACTTTATCTGCCCTCCTATTCTAAATGAAAGCTTTGCTGGATAGAGCAATGTCGGATGTAGGTCTTTGGATTTCATGACTTGGAATACTTTCCAGCCCCTCCTTGCCTATAAGGTCTCTTTTGAGAAATCAGCTGACAGTCTGATGAGAACTTCTTTGTAGGTGACGGTCCCCTTATCTCTTGTGCTTCTAGGATTCTCTCCTTCATTTTAATCTTGGCTAATGTAATGATGATGTGCCTTGGTGTGTTCCTTCTCGGGTCCAATTTCTTTGGGACTCTGCTTCCTGGATTTCCTGGAAGTCTATTTCCTTTGCCAGATTGGGGAAGTTCTGTATTATTTGTTCAGATAAGTTTTCCACTTGTTGCTGTTCCTCTTTTCCTTCTGGTACCCCTATAATTCGGATGTTGGAACATTTAAAGATGTCCTGGAGGTTCCTAAGCCTCTCCTCATTGTTTTGAATTCTTGTTTCTTCATTCTTTTTGTTTGGTCATTTTTTTCTTCCTTCTGGTCCACTCCCTTGAGTCGCAGTTTCCTTTCCTTCACTAGTGGTTTCCTGTGCATTTCCCTCATTTCAATTAGTTTAGCCTTCCTTTGTTCCTCTAATTTGTGACTAAAATCAATCAGTTCTGTGAGCATCCTGATCACCAGTGTTTTGAACTTTGCATCTGATAGAGCAGCTATCTCTTGGTCACTTAAAAGTATTGGCTCTGGGGCTTTGAGCTGTTCTTCTTGAGTCATAATGTTTTGGTCTGTTTGCGCCTGTTATGTATGAGGTGCGGAGCCTTAGCTATTCACCAGGGCGGGGCAACCCAGTGGCTGGGTTGTGACCAGGTCAAGCTGAATGGTTTGTTGTTGTTTTTGGACTTCCGTACAGTTCAATTTTGTGTTGTAGTTGCGTTTTTGTTACTAAAACTTTGTTGTCTTTAAACTTGGTTGTGTAAGGAGGCACAGTGTTTCCACCTATGCCTCCATCTTGGCCATAAGTAACCTGGTATTCATTTTCTTTAAACATTTGGTACAAGGTAAAGCCATCAGGTCCAGGTAATTTTTGTTGTCTTTGGGAGATTTTTGATTACTGAGTCAATCTTCTTACTTGTTACAGGTCTCTACAGACTTTCTGATTTTTCATGGTGTAGTCCTGGTAGATTTTGTTTCAGGAAATTGTCCATTTTGTTGAAATTTTCCAATTTGTTGGTATACAATTTTGTATACTCATAATTATGCTGCTTTTCATTTCTGTAAAATAGGTAGTATTGGCTCCACTTTCATTTGATTTTAGTAATTTGAATATTTTTTCTTACTTCATCTAAAGATTTGTCAATTTTGTTGCCCTTTTTGAAGAAACATTGTTTCATTGATATTCTGCAGTTTTTCTATTCTCTTATTTCATTTATCTCTGTTCTAATCTTTTCTTACTTCCTTCTGCTACCTTTGGACTTCAGTTGTTCCTTTTGTATTCCCTTATATTATAAAGTTACATTGTTGGTTTGACATTTTGTATTTATGTAAGCATTTATAGCTGTAAATTTCCCATGAAGCATTTCTTTCACCATGTCTGGTAAGCTTCACTATGTTGTTGTTTCACTTTCCTTCACTTGTTTTCTCATTTCCCTGTGTTTCATTTTATCCACTGATTAAGAGTGTGTTGTTAGTCCTCGCTGCTGCGGCAAACATAGTTGGACCATCATCCCATAACCCAAAGCTGGCAGGTTTGATTCCAGGTCAGGGCACACACCTAGGTTGTGGGTTCAACCCCCACTTTGGGTGCGTATGGGAGGCAACTAATCAATGCTTCGATCTCTCATTGATGTTTCTTCCTCTCTCCCTTTTTTTCTAAAAGCAATGAAAAAAAGTCCTCACCACCCATCCCCATAGTGAGGATTAAAAAAAAAAAGAGCATGTTGTTCAATTCCTAGATTTGAATTTTCACTGTATTTTTGTTGGTTTCTAATGTCATCCTGTTATGTCCATAGAAGATATTGCACGGTAGTTCTTAAATCTACTGGGACTTAATTTGAGACCTGATGGTATATCCTATGGAATACCTCATGCACACGTGAGAACACGTGCGCTGTTTGTTGCATGTAGTGCACTTGTTGTAAGTCCTCCACTTCCTTACTCATCTTCTGTCTCATTCTTGTGTCCATCACTGAGAGGGGTACTGACGTCTCCAATTGTTACATTAGAAATGTTTCTTCTGTCACTTATGTCCGTTTTTCTTAATATTTGATGGTTGATCATGAAGTGCCTAAATGCGTACTGTGTGTCTTCTTTTATTGAAACTTTTATTAGTATAGATCCTCCCTTGTCTCAAGTAACCTTTTGTATTTAAAGTCGCTTTTGCCTGGTGTTAGGGCAGCCAACTGCAGTATCTTTCAGTTACTATTTGCACGGGATAGTTTTTTACACCCTTTCACTTTCGGTCAATTTATGCCTGAATCTAAAGTTAATCTCTTCTATAAAGCATATGGTTGGACAGTGTCTTTCTATTTTTAATTCAAACTACGTGTTTTTCACTGGAGAGTGGAATCCATTTATATTTAAAATAATTATTGATAAGGAAGGACTTCTGTTGTCTTGCTTCTTTTCTGTATGCTGTATGGATTTTTCTGTCCCTCATTTCCTGCATTACTCTGTGGGTTTTTTGTAAACACTTAAATTCCTTTCTCATTTTATTTTATATATCTCCTTGTATATAATCTAAAGCTATTTTCCTTGTTGTTACTATTGTGGTTACATTTAGCATCCTAAAACTGTAACATTATGAATTTACACCAACTTAATTTCAGGGACACACAGAATCTCTAACAGCTACATCCCTGACCCTTTAGCTTTTGTCACAAAGATACATTATGTGTAGGTCAGGTGTCCTAGAACACCTCCTACTGGGGACCTGGCTCACAACCCAGGCCTGTGTCCTGACTGGGAATTGCACAGGCAATACTTTGGCTTGCAGGCTGGTGTTCAATCCACTGAGCCACACCAGCCAAGGCTATACTATTAATTTATTAAAGTGTATTGGTCTCTTTTAAATCATACAAAAAACAAAAGCAGTTACAAACTGCTCTTCAGTAGAACTAGCTTTTACAATTGTTCATGTATTTACCTTTGAGATCTGTATTTCTCCATAAGGCTTCAAGTCACTCTCGAGGACCCTGTCAATTCACCTGCAAGACTCTTTTTTTTTAAGACTCCTTTCTTGCAGGGCAGGTCCAGCCATCACAAACTGCTAGCTTCTATCTGGGAATATCTTAATTTCTCCTTCCCTTGAGGACAATTTTGCTAAATATGGGATTCTTGGGGTTTTTTTTTTCTCCCTTTTACCACTTTGAATATATCAGCCCACTGCCTCCCGACCTTCAAAGTTTCTGATAAGAAATATTAATCTAATTGAAATGTTAATGTAATATAAATGTTAATCTAATCTAATCTAAATGTTAATCGCAAGTGATGATTCACTTCTGTTGATGCTTTTGATTCTTTGTGTTTGGCTTTTGAAAGTCTAACTATGTGTCTCTTAGTTCATCTTCCTTGGAGCACACTGAGCGTTCATCAGTTGTGGGAAAGTTTCAGCCATTATTTCTTCAAATAGTCTCTCTACCCCTTCCCTCTTCTCTTCCTGGGACCCCCACAGTATGTGGTCTGTTTCACGGTGTCCCACAAGTCCCTAAGGCTCTGTGAATGTCTCTCCAATCCTTTTTTTTCCCATTCCCTAGACTATAATTTTGATTATCTTGTTTCAGTTTCTTTCTTGTACCTGCTGAAATCACTGTAGCGAGTATTTTATTTCATTATTGAACATTTCATTCAAAAATTTCTGCATGGTTTCTGTTTTTCCTTCATTGCTAGCTTCATTTTGTTTATATGTCATTTGCTACACTTTCTCTAATTTTTAGCTCTTTGAGCACTTTAATACAGTTTTAAAGTCTCTGTCTAGTAAATCTACCTCCAGAACTTTTTAGGAGACAGTTTCTGTGGATTTTTTCATTTGAATGGGCCATAATATCCTATTTCTTTGCAGTTTTGTTGTAGTGTAGTAACTCTGGAAATCAGATTGTGATCCTTCCACAGCCTTTACTGTTTTACTGTCCTTTTCTCCTCAGATGGAGCCAAACCCACAAGACACCTGTTGGCGGCATAGGCTGGGCGTGAGTGCCTGTCATGATTGTTGTATCTTAAGATCTTGCAGGCCTAATCTCGTGCACAGGTACACACATACATACTCTCGCACACGGACACCCGTACAGGTGTACACTTGCACACATGGGCACTCATACTCACACACATTTTAGGACAGTGCTCTGAGGTCGTATGTAGCACACATCCAGACTTTGCTGGTTTATATGAAGAGAATTCAGGCAAAATCTGCAGTGAATCTTGTCATTTCTCATAGATTCTTCCTCTACTTTTCTTCTTCTAATAACTAAAACACTCGAAATTACTCTTGGCTTTCTCACCTAGATTAACGAAGTCTGATAAAACCGCTCCGAAGACCTAGTGTTGGAGCATGGGAGGCAGAAGGTGGCAGCTGACTCCTCACAAACTTTCTCGGCCCCAGTGATGCGTGAGGCAGGTATCTGACCCATGTGCCAATTTGCAAGACAGGGGCCTGAGCAGGGACCAACGTCAGCAATTCAACTTGCCTAGAGGGAAGGACCAGCCTGCACAGCACAGAGGCCACCGTCACACCGGTCACTCTGCTGGAAGAACAGGGTGCCTCTCTGCACCACACATCTGACTCATCCCTGCATCGAGCCCCTCAACAAAGGCAGCGCCCAAGTGTCTGCTCTCAAAGTGGAAGCACAGGGAGGCATGCTGTTCGGGGCAGAGTGAAGAGGCTTTACTGGACATATATTTACTGAGAGTTCCACAAAGTTCTTCCCAGAACAGCTTACTTTTAAAAGCCGAACGTGACTTTCTTGTGCTCCATGCTAAGAGGTACTATGCGTAAGTGAATCTTATGAAAATGGGGTCACAGGGCATGCCTTCCCCAGAACTTAGCGTTATCCAGAGATAAATGAAATACTGTAGGCAAAAAATTTCTCTGCTCTGCCTTCAATCACTGAAAGTTTGTTTTTTAAAAAGACAGAAGGAAACCAAATTGCTTTCATATCTAAAGGGAACATCTGTGCTCCTGGTCAGGGCACATCCCTGGGCCGTGGGTTCAGCTCCTGGTCTGGTGTGTGTTTCTCTCCCACACTGAGGCTTTCTGCTTCCTCTGTCTCTAAAATGGACAGACATATCCTCAGGTGGGGATTAAAAAAAAAAAAAGACAAAAATGTGGACAATGTGGCATAAAACCCACCAAGAAAAGCAGCCATTTACAGCAAGACACGAATGCCTGACCCGCCACGGACACGTGTGCGCTGCAGGGCTCCGAGTCCCCGCCTCTGTGGGTGCGTCCCAGAATGAATGTGACTGGGGTCACAGGGACACCAGTGAGGAGGCAAACCTGCAGGCGATGAGGATCCAGCTCCTCATCACCTGTCTCACCTGACACAGGGACAGCAGCCACAGGGCGGAGAGCGACAAGGGCACTCATACTCACACACATTTTAGGACAGTGCTCTGAGGTCGTATGTAGCACACATCCAGACTTTGCTGGTTTATATGAAGAGAATTCAGGCAAAATCTGCAGTGAATCTTGTCATTTCTCATAGATTCTTCCTCTACTTTTCTTCTTCTAATAACTAAAACACTCAAAATTACTCTTGGCTTTCTCACCTAGATTAACGAAGTCTGATAAAACCGCTCCGAAGACCTAGTGTTGGAGCATGGGAGGCAGAAGGTGGCAGCTGACTCCTCACAAACCTCCGCTGCCAGTCGCCAAAGGCTTTCCTGCAAAAACACTACAGCTGACAGCACTTCCTGAAGCGGAACTCGGATGGGGCAGCCTCAAAACCCATGCCCGTCACCGACAGTAGCCTCAGTCCTCCTGCCCCCACCTCTCTCTGCCTTTGTGTCCAGCTCCGCTTATCCTCGCTCCCACTCGCATCCTGGGGTGAGCTTCTCAGGAAGGGTCCTGCCACATTCCAGGTCGTTTCCACCCGCCAGCTCCCACGGATAGTTCTTCAGGGAGAGCTCCTCGACTGCGTGGGGCCTGGCCTTTTTCCGCCTTTCCACTTGTCTTGTAGCTCAGTTATCATCTCCAGCCCCAGGCACGCCCCTGCGCCCTTTCTCCTTCCTCCTCTTGTACTCCGCAATCTGCTTGTGGAGAGCCTCGTGATCAATCCCGCACAGATTAGAGCCCATGGCAGGTCCGGGGGTGTCATATAGTGAGGGGGCTTCTGGGGCCTCAAGGTCCCTGGAGGAGAGAAATACAGATAAAGCGCCAGAGCAACTGAGTGGGGCACCTGGGTTGGCTGGTGCTGCACCTCCCTGCGCCCCGTGCCCATGAGCCACCCTCATGCCGGGCAGTGGCCTGCAGCACGTGGCGAGGACAGCACAATGGGGGCTGGTGCGAGCGGTCTGCAGCCCAGGACCGCACAGGGCACTGGTGGCACCTGCCTGTGGCACCGGCCATCCCAGTTCTGACGCTGCCATTGCACTGTCATTAAACATATTTTTAATTTTTCCCCCATTTAAACTTGGCCAACACCCAAGTTGGGTGGAGCCTTTGATACTCAAGCCAACTTGATGAACCAAAGCGAAAGAAAAGTTTCTATGCCCACAGCAAACTGGGAGAACCCTTTAAACCCGAAATCTGGCTGTGTCGCCCCTCTGAACCCTTCAACTCTCCACTCCAGAGACCCCACGCCCACAGCTTTCCCCTCCCACCCCCCGCGGGCTCCTTGCTGGTCCAAGACACAGGGCCTCACTGCAGCATGGAGCCTCTGCTCAGGCCCGCAGTCCCAGAATGGAGCACGCCTGGCAGGCTGGGGTCCTAATAGAGCCCAGGGGAGGCAGGTGCAGCCAGTCTCGGACCCCGGGCCGCAAGCCTGCTCGGGCTGTTCCCCTGCCTGGACTGGAACCTCCACACACCCCGCAACTCCTCACCACCCTTTCCAAAGCCCACCCTGCAATGTTGCCTCACCCACCACACTCGTCACCACGTTCACTACTGCCAGTCAGCCTCGCCACAAAACGCGGGCCCCACACATGGCCGAACGTTTGCTCACAGGGCTGCAACACGCGGCTCTGACCTACAAGTCTTTGCAGTGTCCACAGAGGCCAGAGGTCCCAGCACTGCGGGTGGACACCCACGGCCCCAGGGCCCACAGAAGCCTGTGGCCAGATGCGCCCGGGCCACGCAGCCCTCCCGCCCGCCCACAGACACAGCTGGGCGTCAGGGCTGCCGCAAAGCCGCACCCACCACCCTCCGGAGACCTGGACGCACGTCCACATGTATTACCTGAGGTCCTTGCGTACAAGGTCTTCATCTGCCGGTCCGAGATCAGCGACTGCCAGTAACCGATCCACCTGAAAAAGAGAGCAAGCCACTCAGCACTCCAGATCGCAGGGCGTCGCGTCAGACTGACGTCGAGGGATGTGCGACGACCGCCGTAGGCTCTTTCCGGCGCCGGTAGATGTCGCTGCCGGAGGTGACAATTTCCGGATGCTGGGCGCATTCACCCCCTGTGCTTTCAAACAGCTGTTCTAACAGCCACGTTTTCTGATGAACAGTTTTTAAAAACTGTCTTTAAAAATATAAAAAATATCAGAACTGGATTTAAATGCGTAAAAGTCAAGGTTATGACCCAGAAGCTGGACATCAGCTGAATTACCCAGGCAACTTGCACCGCTGCACAGGAAGTGCTGAAGGCATGGGGAGAGGAAGGGGACGAGCACGTGCCCTAGAGCCAGTGCGCAGGATCCCCACGGCACCGGGGACGGTCCTGGACCTCCGAGGACACAGACCTAGGGAGTGTGTCTGAGCACAGGACTGGTAATGCTGCATACCACGGATAGTTGGGGAGGGAAGACTCGCAATGCGCGCTCTGACCAGGTATGTGGACCGGACCACGCGGCTGCATAGCCAGACAACCAATAGGACCCGAAGGCATCACAGAAGGAGGGATGACCTGCAGGGCTCCAGCCATGCGCTGACCCCACCAGACTGGGCGCTCCCAGTCTGCAGGTGCCCATGGATGCTACCAGTCTGAGCACAGGGCAGCTGCCCACAGTCTCACTTGGACAGAGGACCATCAGGTACTGACGGGCGGAGAATGGCTGTGCTGTGTTCCCAGGGCAGATACCTGTCCTGGGATACCTATGGCCAAAGGGGCCATACCCACAGGAAACACTGGGATGAGCCTTGAAGCACTGCCCGAGCCAGAGGCCCTAAGTGACAGTCCTCAAGGCCCAAAAATCAGGTACGCCAGGGGCACGGGAGCCAGCTACTCAGGGTAAGCAGAGAGGTGTGCATTCTGCCCATGACAGGAGATCACCCATCGATAAAGCTTACTTTAGAAAGGTTATCAAATCACCAAATGCAGCCCTCAGTTCTGACACGTGACCGCCAGCCCACTGGGTCTCTGGGACCATCCTGTAGGGAGCCCCATGTGCAGGCCGCACTGACTCCACCAGGCTGGCGCTCTGCTCTCAGCCCACTGACAAGCGAAAGGAATAAACCACAAAATTGGCCTCCAAGTCCATACATTTTCTTTAAATATTTAGACATTTTTCCTTTATAGTTATGAAAAAAATCCCATTGTAAATGTCTGCCGGTTGAAGTGTAAGGTGTACAGGACAAGCACACAAGCCCCTCCATGCACAACTCAGGGCTGCACACGGCAACCTCAGGGGACACTGCAGCGGACGTTTGGAGACCAAGCCCTCCTCCACGCCCGCCCCAAAGCAGCCTGTGTTGTGATTTCCAAAGCCGAAGGTGGGGCACGCCTGTCCTTGTACTTCTTATAAACAGAACCAGAGCACAAGCCTCTCCTTTGGCTCCTGGTGTGAGGTACTGGGCACAGGACAGGTGGCTCGCACCAGAGTACATTCAGCTGCTGCTAACATAAGCCCGGTGTCTGTGGGACCACACACACCCTCCCACTGCCATCGATACCCTCAGGGGATGGTGGGGTACCGTCCACTCAGCTTCTGCAGGTTCGACCTCAGCCTCCAAAGCAGCACTGTTCATAGGCCTCTCCCCGGCAGCTCGGGAGCCTATTGCTCTGGTCGGGACCTGTACTGTCTGGTTAGCCTCGCCGAGGCAGGGTGTGCACTAGGACTTTTGTGGTTTCACGTATGTGCTCCTGACGACCATGACACTGAGCCCCCCACCTGGCTTTACCAGCAGTAGTGGGCTCAGTGTGGCTAGAGCTTATCACTACCCCTCTGAAATGTCCATACTAGTGACCTGTAGACCATCCTGAGAATGTACAGGAAGGAGGCGAAACTGTTAACACTACTACCATTTGCATCTGCAAGTGTTCCACACAGTGCACCCAACATAAGACACTGAATAAACTGGTAGAAGACTCAAAGTTTCATCCATATTCCCAACTTTAATTTTTGTGTCTATCCAAGCTGCCTTCCCATGGGCTGACTTCAGCCTGTTACAAACACAAGGGCAAGCAGGAGATGACATGCCCTCAAATACTCCTCTGGGCGCATCTGAGACCCCCTCCTAGTCCGGCCTTTACTTACTTCTACCTGTCGTGAGACAGACTTCATGACAGTGAGCCAAGCCGAGACCAAGTCTTCACTTTGCCTCCTGGGCTCTGGGTACCTGCAGGACCCACCCTGGCCGTGGGGCACATAATCAGGTGCTTTACCACCTCCTGTGGGCACATGTGGGATGCAGTGGGACAGACACAGTGGGATGGACGCTGCACAGGCCTGAGGCAGCCTCCAACAGAGACACCCGCCAGCACCAACTCTGGAGAAAGGGCCTCTCTAGAACGAGCATCTCAGGTACCACCTCCTTCCAGCAGCTTCTGGACAGGAACCCACAGATCCAGGTGGGGCCTGGTGACTGCTGTTCTACCACCTCAGAGGAAAGGGCAGGGAAGGCCAGGGAGCAGAGGGTTCATCCTCCAGCCAGCTCAGGTTTCCTTCTCCCAGTTTGACCACATGTGCCTGGGTGGATTCTTTTATTTTATATTTTATTTTATTTTTTATATTTTATTATTTTATTTTATATTTTAGAGAGGGGAAGGGAGGGAGAAAGAGAAGGTGAGAAACACTGATGTGAGAAACATCGATTGATTGCCTTCCCTATGTGCCTGAGGGTAGGGGTCCCCAACCTCCAGGCCACAGGCCAGTGCTGGTTGGGGGTTAGTTTGAATGTAATGTACTTGAATCATCTCAAAACCATCTGCCCTGGCCCAGGCCATGGAAAAAATTATCTTCTATAAAACCAGCCCAAGGTACCTAGGTACCTAAAAGGTTGAGGAAGGACCTCTGCCCCAGGGAACTGAACCTGCAACCTAGGTACATGCCCTGACTGGGAATCGAACCAGCACCTTTGTGGTTCACAGGACAATTCCCAATCCACTGAGCCACGCCAGCTGGGGTTTTGCTGGATTCTTTAAGGCAGACACTGTAACTTCACTCCTTTTTTTTCTTTTCCATCTGTCAAGGTTATTATTTGTATAATACTTGCAGTATCACTTGTATAATGAATAATGAGACAAAAAGATGTCCAATTAGATATTTTTTCTCTGTGGATCTAAATACTTAGTTCTATAGTAAATAATAGCCACTTAATCTTAATATTGTAAATGCTACTTAGTGGTTTCTTTGGATAAGCTTCTTTAAAAAATTTTTATTATATATTTTTAGAGACATGGGGCGGGAGAAAGAGAGAGAAACATCAACATGTTTGATGTTTCATCTACTGAGCCACACCAGCCGGGGCTTTTTTTGATAAACTTTTTAAAGGTATAGCATACCTTAATAAACACCAGGTAACCACCAGCCGGATTAAAATACACACACACATATGCCCTGGCTGGTGTAGCTCAGTAGATTGAGCATGGGCAGTACACCAAAGGGTCGCCAGTTTGATTCCCTGTCAGGGCACAGGCCTGAGTTGTGGGCCAGGTCCCCAGTAGGGGGCGCGTGAGAGGCCACCACACATTGATGTTTCTCTCCCGATCTCTATAAATAAATACGTAAATAATACACATATATAGTTACAGGTTTTAACCTTTATAATTAACCTATAACTAAAGCAAGCAAGGTAACTGTAAAAGTTATAGTCACAGGGCAGAATGTAAACCTTGTGAGCCTTAACGGTATAAAACAGCCGTGGCTGGGCTGAAGTCCGGGGAAGTGAGAGCAGGCAGCAAGCAGAGGAGGGCAGGCAGCTTTGACCGCCTCAGGTTCATAAATCGAGACCTGGAGATCTGACTTAGTAGTTAAGAGTTACAGAGATAAACATAAAAAAACTAAAGTCAGAAAACAAGGTTACCTCTGGTGACTGTTGCTGGGAATAAGCCTGGGGTCTTACTTGTCATGTATACCCTTCCAAGTATTAGTTTGTAAAACTGTATATATTATCTTCTTAGAAATTCTACCTATGTAAAAGTGTACATTACAAAGTCCATTACTTAGAGGCCTCACCTCGGCGAGAGCTGCGTGGTCTTTGTCCTGAACAAACACTATTGGTGGCATGTTCCTCAGAGTCTGCTGGGACATCAAAAGATGCCTAGAGAGAGAGAATGCACATTAGTGCAAGGCAGGTGACACTGAGAGGAGAGATGTGACAGTGCCAGAAACAAAAAATTTATGATGATTTCACACAGACATAAGAAATAAGATTTGCTTATCACATTACTCAAAGATGAAAGTATCTGCCCAGAAGTCTTCAGCCAACCGCACATCACAGAAGGGATAAAAAATGATCTCTCTAAAGTCTAAATAATAGTATCTAACTGGAGGCTCCCACCTGGGCATCACGGTGGCCATGGGCTCCATGGCTGGTCACTAACCACCGTCAACGCTTCATCCTCCTACCAATGGATATGCCCCACAACGATGCCACCCACCACCCATGTCACACAGAAGTGATCTCTGTGGTCTTTGGTTATGCAACAAGGAGGTAAAAGGTGACTCGGTACAAGTATCCGATGACAATGTGGCTGTGACACACAGCACATCCACTCAGAGACAGTGGATCATGGAACACACTAAACCCAGGGCTACCAGAGGAGTGAGGGAAGAGGACATTCTGTTTAACTGAATTTTCTAGCTACCTAAAAATTAATCAGGGGATGGTACTTTTATGGCAACACTTGTTAGATTTCTCGTTTTCTTGTTCTGTTAAATGTAAAAGTGAAATGCACTTGCCAGCCTTTAATAAGCAGCTTTACAGACTCTGAGGGACCACTGTGGTGGACGTCTGTGGTTGTGACACAGGAGAGCCACACAGAGATGAGTGTGGCAGCTCCTGTGTGACTCTGACTTGTCAGTATCTGCCCCCTTCTGACAGTGCAGGGGACCGGGGAGAGGGACAAGAGTGGGAGAAAGCCAAGGACAGTGGGAGGGAGGGATTCCAATTCTGAGAGGCTGGCAGGTTGAGTTTCTGGGTATTTTAAGCCTGAGGAAACTGAGTAACTTCTCTACTATCACCTAGCTCAGCAGTTCTCAAAACCTCAGGGCTGCTTTACACTAAAAAATTACTGAAGATCCCTGAAGAGCTTTTGTTTATGTGGATTATAGCCAGCAATACATACCATACTAGAAATACTAGGAATTTAAAATATATGTATGTATTAATTCACTTAAACCCACTGAATGTTCACATAGACATTTTTAATGAAAAATAACTTTTCTAAAAAAAGTTACTGCAACCTGGCTGTTGTAGCTCAGTGGATTGAGTGCAGGCCTGCGAACCAGACAATCGCGGTTCGATTCCCAGTCAGGGCACATACCTGGGTTGCAAGCCAGTTCCCTGCAGGCCAATTCCCAGCAGGGGATGCACAAAGGGCAACCATACATTGATGTTTCTCTCCCTCTCTCTCCTTCCCTTCCCCTCTAAAGATAAATAAATAAAATCTTAAAAAAAAAAAAAGTTACTGCAAAGAGTGGTGCTGTGTACACAGTTGCAGGTTTCTTTAATGCCCAGCTTAATGGAAGACAGCCGGATTATCATGTCTGCACTTGCATCCAATCTGTTCCGATGTTGTTTTGGTTGAAACATAAGAAGGAAACCTGGCCTCGCACAGGTCTGTGACTGGAAAATGGAGGGCTGTCTAAACACGCTTACGAGAAGTGTGGATCTTTTTGGTGCTAAACAAAAACTCAATACATGGTGGCTTTTTAAAGATTAGGTGCAATGTGGAATCAGACACCAGACCAATGAACACGTCACACCATCACAAGGAACCCCCTGGGCTCTCTTGCATTTGAGCTGACCTTTCTTCCCGCATGGTTCTGTGACCTCACACCCTGGTCCTCAGGAGACACTGGCTCACCAAGGTCTGCCATTTTCAGAAGGCTGACACCTGTCACCACCCATCTCATCAAGAGGCTGCATGTGTTGGAAAGCTGCCAAACTTGCAGCAGTACAAACAACGCTTAAAAACCTGATTTTTACTTGAAGGCTTGAATTTTATCACTGGCAACAAGTATGATCAATTGTTTTCCCTAAAGTGACAGGTTCACTTGGCTCATTGGCAGAAAACGTCTGTCATAGTACCCAAATCTGAAAAACCACGGTTGGTTCTCTTGTTCCTTCAGGTGAAAAAGTCTATTTCCATGTGCACAGCATCTTCCCAGGGACAGCCACTCCACCCCAGCCCCTCACAGGGCTGCAGGCACACTCCCCACCACACACGATACGAAACAGATCCGTACCCCAGGGTCAGAATTTAATGACATTAGTAGCATTTGCTTATCCATAAAGGACATTCTTAAATAAAACTGGCCCTGTGTTCACTGCGAGCAGGCAGCATGGAGGTACCACGAGCTCAGGGCCTCTGGGCCCACAGATCTACCCACTGGAGCTTTGGTGCAAATGTCCACACGGTGAGAAAGGAAGTAACATCCCACTGTGACGACAGCTTTAACCTGACGGACACCCCCAGAGAGCTCAGGGGCCACTAGGGATCCAGGACCGCACTCTGAGTAACACCTAGATTACGGCTTGTATGAAAATGTGAATTATACTGTGAAGTTAAAAAAAACACTTCCAAAATTTTTCTCAAAAGCAAAGATACATCACTAAACAGACTGGGAAACTCCAGGTGCTGCAAGAGCAAACACACTGGGCTGGCACAGTGTCCTCACCTCATACGTGCTGCATGCCTCTGCAGGGTGGCCTGGGCATCTGCGTTCTGCTCGGCAGGGAGCGGTGTCTTCCAGTACACGCGGCAGGCAGAGAAGTCCGCTGTCAGAGACACCTGAGGGCCCGCCACCCCTTCAGTGTCAGTGGGTTTTCCGCAGACAGACAACACGCAGGAGCCAGATGCTAGTGCGACAACCATCTACACCCACCACCTAAGCTGGTGCTCCAGCCGCACCGTAGCAGGCACCACACTCACAGCCACACTCCTCTTAGTAGACCAATGGCAGGAAGTCACCTCCTTCATCTTTACTCTGAGACAAAGGTGACGTATCCACGTATCTGACCCACAGGTCTTCAAATGCTCCAGTGCCCACACCGACTGGGCGTCTGACTCTGCACTTGCTGCCATCAGGTCAGAGACACCTCCCTTCCCTGCTTTGGTAACACATGCGTCCCCTCCATCTGTCTTTAGTGCTGAAATGGCCACGCTTAGCAACGCTCATGCAACCCAGACCAAAGACCCTGGGAGTGACCCGGCGCCTCTTTCCCAGCAGCTGGGCTCGCAGTCCCCAGCCCCGTTCCTTCTCAGTTTGGCCCCTTGGCCTACCTTGGACAGCTCCACATTCAGGTTGTAGACCTCTTGGCTCACTTCAGGGGTGCACAGCAAATCGGTGAGCGCTTTGTAGAGGAGGCCGTTCAGGGCCCTCAGGCGCACGTGGTCCTCCTTCTTGGTTTTTCTTGAGGTGCTCTTTGTCAGGAAATCCAGCTGGGACGGCTTGTGAGTCTGCATTAACAAGGACACACACAAAGGCTAACATTAGGCTCTACAACAAACTTGTATTCGCTTACAAAAAAAAAGCCACTGGGAAGAACTTGAGCACCTTGTAAACAAGAAAATGTTATGCTCAGTCACCTTAGCTTAGCCCTGGCCAGTGTGACTCACTCGGTTGGAGTGTCATTCCCTGCAGACCAAAAGGTCGTAGGTTCCATCCCCAGTAGGGGTGGGTATGAGAGGCAACTGATCAATATTTCTCTCCCTCCCTTCCCCTCTCTCTAAAATCAATGGGCATGTCCTCAGGTGAAGATTAAAAAAAATACACTTCATTTTACAGAGTTGGATCCTTCTAGATTTTATAAAAATAACTGCCAGTATATATTTTTTCAAGAAAAACTTTTACAGAAATATAATCAACATATCATAAAATTCTCCCTCTTAAAATGTACCGTAGAGCCCTAGCCAGGTAGCTCAGTTGGTTGGAGCATCATCCTGACATGCCAAGGTTGCTGGTTTGATCCCCAGTCATGGCACATACAAGAATCGAGCAATGAATGCATGAATAAGTGGAACGACAAATTGATGTTTCTTTCTTCCTTCCTGTCTCTCTAATATCAATAAATTTTTAAAAAAATCAATGGTTTTTAGTACACGGTGTTTTTTCCTAACTAAAGTCATTCATTACATAGACTTTTACAATGTATCCATGTGTATGTTTGATACACACACACACACACGCACTGAAAACTGAGTGCACATTGCTATGTTAGAATTTGATCGTAAGTATGACATTCTGGGAAACTTTGGTGTCCATTATATTTTTTAACACCAAAACTCCACGTTACCAATTCATCCGGTCCAGCCCCTACAGACCCTGCACTGCCCACTATGGGGATGGAAGGGCCACCCGGCTGCAGACTCCTGGAACCTCGCCCCTGTCGCGGCCACTCTACTCACCAGGTGAGAGCCCAGGGAAGGGCCTTCATACCAAAACTTCTTTCTACGGGGAGAAAGTAAAAACTGTGTTGGATACTGACAGCAAATTAAAGAAGAAAAAATTACATAAGCTAACTCAAGCTTGTGACACCTCAACGGTTTCTAAGGGACTTCTGATGTTGATGTTATGAGAATCGGAAGTTACCTGACAATGGCGGGGACTGTGGGCAGAGACAGGGCTCTAATTGCACCTCGGTTTCCACTCGAAGTCTCCCTCCCTCCCACAGGCAGTGGAGCGTCTTACAAACACGCCTGTCCGACTGCACGGGGCGCTGCGCTCTACTGACTTGGGGCAGCGGAACAGCTACGCCAACAGGTGTGGGAGGAAGTTCCAGGTGAGCAAGGAAGAAAGCTAGAACCGTCCGTGTGGCAGTGGATCAGAGCTGGAGAACTGTATGAACTCCAGTTTCACTTACGACAGACCCACATGGTGACACGCAGAAATGTTTACAGGTAAGTGCGTTTGCAGGTGTGCTCCTCTTTTTTTGCTTTGTCAGCTGAAACGGCCTAAAGACACACCCCAGTAGCAACGAACACGTCCAGCTCTCAGTGTATCTGGGGCCGTCCCCTAACACTATCATCTCACCTGTAACAACAGAACAAAGGCCAGGTGGCAAAAACGGCGCAATGTTAACGGAGCAGCGGAACTGCTGGTGACTTTTCAATAACCACTAATATGACAAGCAAATGCTACGCTTGCTGACGCGGTGCCCGGGGGTCCCACCCCTGCCCCGCGGACCCCTGTGGTCCGCGGACCGCAGCCTGGTGGGCCTCACTCCCGCCCCGAGGGCACCCCCTCCACCCCCATACCCTCATGCATTCAGGCTGCCGTACTTGGTTTTCGAGGCAAACTTCTTGAGCAGGTTCTTGCCGCAGGGGACCGGTGAGCTATGTAGGCCTCGGGCGCCGCTGGGAAGAAGCCCCGCGTGGCGCCTACCGAGCAGCGCCCGGAGCCCAGGGGATACCCCCAGCACCCGGGGGGCCGCCACCCACATGGCGACCAAGAGATCCCTGAGGCAGAGCAGGGAGCGGCGAATCGACGCTGGGCGGGACGTAAAGGGCGGGGCCACGTGGGGCGGGGCGAAGTGCAGGGTAGGGGCCTCGAAGACAAGTAGGAGGGACTTGAAGCAGCGAGTCGGGAAACGTGAGGCGGAGCGACGCACGGAGGGGTGGAACCTGAAGTGACTGGGCGGGGATCCGAGCCTAGCGGCGACGTGCAGGCGGAGCGGTGGAGACGCAGGGGGTGGTGACGAGCGTGAGGAGCGTTGTAGAGAACGTGGGGCGGGGCCTAGATGAGGGGTGGGCGTGGCGTGAAGCAACGGGGCAGGGCCAGGCGGCACCACCTGACTGCTGTGCGGGTAGGAGCGCAGCGTTTGCCGGCGCTGGAACTTAACGAATGGGGCTGCGCTGCAGCTCGCCTTCCACAAAATAGCAAGAGGAGAAATGGGGCGGAAGGGTAGTGAGAGCTCTTAGCTTGTGGTTCGGGGGCGTCTGGAATGGAGCCCTCATGTTTCTGACTCCTGAAACTACCAGTCCCTTTGCTCACGCGGAACGTTTTCTTCCTGTGCCACCTTCTCAGCAGGTCTACCCTGCAGAATGGAGGCACACTGCTACCCGGCTCGTCGTCACCGTCACCCGGGGACCGCCGGCGGCAGCCCTGCCAAGGTCCCCCGTGCTCGTCACTGGCTCTCAGAGACTCTGTGCTCTTTGGTCTTGTCCCCCACTAGTCAGCAACCCCTCGACAGTGGCGACTTGTTCCCTACGGAAGCCCCAGCACCGAGAACAGCTCTGGCACTTGGAAGGTCCTCCATCGTCATTTTTTGAATGATTGAAATAAAGGCGTGCACAGGGATTCCAGTTTAAGGAAGGCTACCTACCCCGTGGGGCTGTGGGAATTTAATAGAATAAAAAGCAACGGCCGATGAAAAATCCACAGACCTAGCCCAGGCTTTTAATCCAAATGGAAATATTTGCAAGTTCCAACCGTTAGAGGATTAACTGGGCTCAGGGTCATGACAAATGATGACACCTCTCCTACAGCTTTAAGGATGGAGTGAGAATGGAAGTAAAGCCCCTAGCGGGCTCTCAGTGAATGGTCAGTGTCGTTGCTATCCTTGGTTTTCAGATAAAATGATAGTAAACCAATCTGTATGTTGGACTCTTACATAAATACAACACACAAAATTATATTCTCCCATTTAATCTGCCATATTTCACTCCTCTTAATCCTCAGCCCACACATATCATGTAACTAGCACTTCATTAGGAATGGGAAAGCCACTGAGATAGGCCAGGATGCTTCCAACCAAGTTTTCCATCATCTGCCATCTGGCCTGATGGGTGGCACTTCCAATGTGAGGTGTCAGAGTGACATTCTTCAACAAAGGATGGTCTCTGAAATACAGATTAGTTGAGGAAAACCATTCAGAGCTGTTTTGTCTCTTGATCTTCATATTCTGGTTTCACATCCCGGCCCTGTGAGGGGAAGGTTGCAGGAGGCTTGTGCACACTCTAAATCACACCTGGGTATGACCACTCATCCAACCCTAGTACTAGGGACCTTACATTTTTGGGTGCAAAACACATTATCTTAACTGCAACCAGGCCATTATCACGCAATGGTACAACATGCATAGTGGACTAAATGCTGGCCCACCAGACCTAAAAGGGCCTTTGGGGACAGAGGTGCTGGTCCCGGCATGACTGGACAAGCAGAATGCGCCTTTGAGGAGTATCAGCATTCAGAGGAAGAAGATTTCCTAGCTAGAATGAGCAGATTAGAGGGAGTTCTCTTCCAAGAAGAATGCGAAGGAAGGGGGTCTGTCTGGAAAGAGGAGGTTCCTAGTGCAGTGGGCCAGGCAGACTCAGTGTGGTGATAAGTAACACTAGAACCCAGCGCAGGGAAAGGGCTGTAACCACCAGGGCCTCCTGACTACTTTAATGCAGACAGAGGTCAGAGTAGCCCTGTGACGTTCCTAGCTGTTGAGGGAACACCTTTGCGACCTTAAGGACCCCTAACCCTGTGGATGTTACCTGGGGGCACTTGTCACTGTGGCTGCCCCAGACCGCATATCCTGTGGTATAGTTAGCAGGGATAAGAACTCTTCTGGAAACACTTGTCCTCCCCATAAGTGGACCCTGCTATGTGACAGCACACACTGGAAACCGCAGGGTGACTGGCTTGGTCCCAAATGACTTGGAACCCAGCGGTAACTGAATCATGACCAACTGTAACACCCGTCCACAAACTATCTAGTGTGGAGGCAAGAGCCAATTCTCTTGAGAAAGTGTGGCAAATACCTCTGTAACTGTTACTGATTTGTCCTGTAATGAAACTGAATTAAATCGTGATTGTATTGTGATATGGTGTAGCACTAGCATTGTTGGTAGAATTTAACTACCTAATGTAAATAAGTCATAAGATAATACTGCTATTGATGATCAATTGGATTGGGAGATTGAGTTAAAGCCTCTTCAGAATATAACAATGGGCAATGACTGGCTCAAGTAAAAGCTAGATTTAGCTAAATAGTAGCTAACTTATATACTTATGGTATAGCACAAGTGTGTCAAGAGGAACAGAGAAGTGGCGGGGCAATGGACAAACAATCAAGCTGGTACCAAAATACAAGAATGCATGCAATGGCTGCACCGGGTGGGTCAAGGGTCAGGGATGACTGGTGAAATAAAAGGTTAACTCAGCAGACAGGCTCGGAGAGCTCAGACTCTGCGCATTCCAAACACAGACCTCTGGGAGATGACCTCTGAGCCCTTGGGGTTCACTGCCTGATGGGTTATCTCCTTATCCTTAGGACTTTGAGCACAGCCAGACAGTTTGTGCTAAAAATGGAATTTGGGGTGAATGCCTCCTTTTTGCTTATCTGGAACCCTCGCCCACTCTATGTCATTGTGACCTCTGGAAAGGCTGGAGAGTAAGTATCTGATGTCAGACCTGTGGGCACTCCATACCTACGTGGCCACTTGACACTGAGGCTTGGGTGCGCTTCCCTGGTTGGAAACGCTGTGTGTGTTGTGAACTACCCATTGAGGGAGGGTAACTGGAGGCTCGTGCCATGTGTCTCCTGGACTCCAGCAGATAAACTGTGTATGTTTGCTGATTTCATTCCACATCCTTTCCCTGTGATAAACTGTAAGTCTGAGCCCCAGAGCTGTTCTGAGTTCATACCACATCCCCAAATGGCCCCCGATACCAGTTTTATATGCACTTTGTACACACACTAAAAAATGAAGCAGCCACAAATGCCACCTGTAACTGTCACTTCAACACAAAACAGCGGGTGGATGCTCAGAAGAAAACCCTTTCCTTCCAGCAGAAACCTACGAGGAGCCCACTACTGACCAGCCAGGAGCAGCTGCCCCGGTCAGGGCCAGTCAGGGCACAGAGCACCCCTGGCTTGCCCATGGGCTGTGGGGGAAGCTGGGTTCCAGGCCCGTTCCTGGAGTGTCTATCTCCCCAGAATCTTTACTGTGGTCACTGGCCTGTGACATCTCCCAAAGCACGTAATGCCCATGTGGAGGATCTGAATTCTCAGAGAAGCTCCAGCAGGTTGGCTCGGCCAGTGGGGCTGCAGGACAGCACTGTTTGCTCACAGATAACCCAAGAGGGGCGGGCCAGTGCATGCCTGTGTCCTCGGCCACTGACCTGCAGAGGCCAGCAGCTTGGCGTCAGCCCTGACCCTCCTGTGTGCTGTCGCTGGTGGAGGTTGCAAGGACTCTTTGTCCTTTCTTTATGAATGCCGCAGCAGCCTGCCCTAGTACTAGGTTAAAGCACCAGCCCACTACCTCCTGCATACAAACACAGACAGCACTACGGAAATGTCGAATAACCAAACTAACACTGTCATTTTTTAAAGTGAAGGCTCAGAAAATTCATCCCCGTAAATTTTGCTTAATTACACCTAGGAGATCAAACTGCAATGCCCCTACCAAAAGTGGATGCCCAAACCCGGATTTGAAAATTCCCTCACTGATCTGAGGTTCAAAAAGAGGTGAAGACAAAAATCAGAAATATTTCTAAATAAGCAGCTCAGCACTCCACCCATCAAAGTGGATTTTTTAGCCACTCGGGGAAAATGTCGACCACAGATGCCAGGAATCTCGTGAGAACTCCTGCTCCGTGGCCTCCTAGCCACAGGGCCTGCACTTGGACAACGGGCCATACCCTTACCAACACTGACGCGGATGGTGGTGGGCTTCATCAGCCTCAGCTCCCTCCCCCCCATCAGCCCCTGGGTCGGGGGTGTCAGGCCCGCCATCAACATCACAAAGTCTGATCACCGGAGCAGGTCATCCAGGCTCTCGTGGTAACTGGCCTCAACAGCTCCCCCCTCCTCCAGTTTCCAGTGAAGAGATTGAGGAAGAAAAACGACCTTTTGTAGTCAGAGATTCATTATGTTGCCCCAAGAAGGAGTTTCTGAAGGGAGCCAGGGACCGGATCTGTCCCCATCTGGGTCCAGGACTAGTCCTGGGCACCTGGCCTCTCTGCAGGGTCTCACAGTGACCCAGGGCTCTTTGAGACCAGGGCTGTCCTCTCCCTCAGCTTTGAACCTGTGGAGCCTGGTACAAGCATGACTGTGTGTCAGACATGCTTCCAGTCATGTCAGAGCGTCACCGAGTGTGGGCATCACCTGCATTACCATTTCCAAAAAGCAGAACAACTCAGGGGAGGGCCGAGAGTGCTGCCTGTTCAACAGACTCGAGGAGCCAAGCGTCTGACGGAGGTAGGGTTGTGTTTTGGTCCCATTTAGGTCCAGTCTGAACTCCCAAACTGGCCACTCCGGACAGCTGAGCACTCGACAGGAATTCCAGGCTCCAGGAGGTCACAGCAGGTAGCTGCCAGTGCCACGCAAGAGTGGAACACAAAATTCTATGAACCAGGCCTATCTGGAAGAAAGCACACCCAGCTCCCTCTGCAATGCCCGGCCCACACGGTGCTCCCTGTCCAGGGAACACTGGCCTCAGCCTCTGCCTTCTCACACTGAGAGCCGCCTCCACTGCCCACTGTGCAAACAATGACTGAAAAGGGGGACAGGTCCTGACCTAAAATTCCCCGGCTCACCACACCACCCCGAATTTCTCATCAGCCGCAATTCCATTCCATGTGTCAGGGAGCCACCACAGGGGGTGAGCAGTGTCACGCTGGCTGATGTGCAGAGGGGACTGGGCATTCAGGAGCAGACTGGCAGCCCCTGAGGGGAGGTGCAAGTAGAGTGAGACAGCAGGTGGGCTGGAGGGCTGTTTGGAGACAGAATCACTAGGGCTGGTGTTGCGCTGAATCGCGCATGGAAGGAAATGGCCTTCGGATGGAGTGCGTGGGTGAGCACACGGCTCAGCACTAAAGAAACTGACCAACTTGCTCTGTGTGTGTGGAGGGCGCCTCCCGTGATCAAAAGTCACTTGAGAAATTAAAAAAAAGAATGGGTATAGTGAGCTAACATCCCTTCCTGGTGAATTTTTTAATGGAAACAAGTAACAGTTACATTCCTGAGTAATGTAAAAATACACAATCCCTTTCTGGACCATCAGCTCTGCTTTCTGGAAGAAAGAGCAGGGAGTCTTATGGAAAATGCAGAGCTCATACGCCCCAGCCACAGTCAGGGCAGCGCTGGTGTATGTTCTGCTGAGCTCACTTCGAGTCCGCTCCAGCTCTCACCTGTTTCCTGTTGTGGTACAGAATCTTCATGTCAAATGCCCAGGCCCGCTGAGCCACCCTGTAGCCGATTCTGCCCATGTCCATGATCCCCAGGGTAGCCCCCTGTCACTTCCTGACCCATCCAGTTTGTGGAAAAGTTCTGTGTGTCCAGTGAGATGGCCAGCTGGTGACCTACGGTGAACGAGAAGACAGAGGGGAGTGGAGATGGCACCACACAGGAACGCACAGCCTTTCCTGAGACATTTTTGTCAAGGTGACACAGGTAGGGAATGCCAGTGGCAGACCATGGCTCTCATGCATTCTCTGTGACAGCAAACAAATGTTTCTGAGAGGGAAGGAGGGGGACAGACAGCAGTGTCCTCATAGCACAGCCAGTGCTTCCTAGGAAATGCTGTAAAAGAGCTGGTCCTCTCGAACTGGGGAAGTCTTCCTGGTCAAAGTCGCTTAGGGGTGTGTCTGTGTGTGTGACTATGTATGTGGCTGTGTACATGTGTATTCTATCTGTGTGTCACTGTGTGTGGGACTGTGACTACGTGTGGGTTACCGTGTGTGTGTGTGTGTGTGTGTGTGTGTGTATGAACCAGCATTTGGAAACAGAGACCACTTTCTGCTTCTCTCTCCTCGAACCCTTCATGCCAGAGCTCCACTGGGAGGATGGGTGAGCTGAGGGGACACACTGCCTTTCCTGGGGTGCCCCGGAGAGGCCCAGTGCACGGACAGGCGGGATGCTGCCTACTCACAGGTAGGCCTTCACCTCCAGGTGGCATGCGCCCAGCCAACGAATGACCCCCAGGGCACTTCCAGAGTGGTGCTGAAACCACTGCATGCACACACTTCCCACCTGTTATGCGAATGAGTGGCATCTGGTGGGGGGAAATGGCTGCCGAAGTAAAGGCTGCTGAACTACTTGTGCCCAGAGTGGGGCCTAAGCACCCAGTAGGATGCATATGGCCAGGAGGCACTCCAGTTTCCAGGTGCCACCAAGTCCTGGCCATAGTGTAAAGAAATCAGGGCTAAAGATTTGAAGTTTGAAAGTAATATTATACTTGTCATATGTTAATAAGTGTTTGCCATCGATCTCTTGGGAAAACCAGCATCTCCAACATGGCTTACCTTCCACGACTCTCTGGGCCTTGCCGCCAGCAGCAAGGCCATCCCCACATCAGCACTGGGGCTGGACTCAGCCTGCAGCATGTTGGCCACCTTCACACCAAGGCTGGTGAGGAGCCAGGTGGTCTAGACTGGCTCCTGAGTTGGCAACAATCTTCAAGGCGGGCAGGCCCTGCAGGAGCTCCTGAGTAATAGTGGCTTTCCTCCCCAGATGTGTACGGCCTGAATATTTGGACCCAGTTGTGCTTTATTGTCCAGAAATTCTTGCATGGTAATGAGATTAAAGTGTTTCTGCAGCTCTGAAACATGATCTTCACATACACCAGATGGTCCTCCCAATGCAGACACCAGAATTCCTAGTAGGTCTTGATCTCCTATGGCCTACAGAGAGACAACTGTGATTTCTGCTGTCCAAATAGAGTCTGAACCCCTGGCTGGTATAGCTCAGTGGATTGACTACGGGCCTGCGAACCAGAGTATTGCAGTTCAATTCCCACTCAGGGCACATGCCTGGGTTGCAGGTCAGTTCCCGGCAGGGGACACATGAGAGGCAACCATACATTGATATTTCTCTCTCTCTCTCCTTCCCTTACCCTCTAAAGATAAATAAATAAAATCTTAAAAAAAAAAAAGAGTCTGTAGGACAACAACCTGTGTGCTCTCCTGCTCTTCAGATTTTTAAAATCACAACATGCCTGGAATTCATTTGAAAGTCAGCAGACCCGGAGCTCTGAAGGCACCCTCCCGGTCATCAGGCCTTGGTGTGATTCCACCACTGGGGTGCACTTCCAGTGAAGAGAAGATGGCAGAGCAGGAGGCCGCTGCCTGATGCTGGGGAGCAGCCTGTGCGGACACTGAGACTGAACTTAGGACCAGGTCTAAGAGGCCGGCCCTCAACCAGGTGAGCCTGGAGATGCTGCAGCCCCTGTCAACACCCCAACTAAAGTTTCATGAGAGACCCTGAGCCAGGGCCACCCAGGTAAGCCACTCCTGGATTTCTGACCTAGATGCCTGGGAGATAGCAGATGTTTGTTTCCAGCCACTAAAATATAGGATAATTTGCTATATATGCAGCAATAACTAATAAAATTGTGGACAAAAAAAAGGGCTCTGCAAAAAGTAACCTCACAGGGTAATCTGTGAGGTCATAAATTCCTAACCTGGCAAATCACACCCCAGGCATATAACTTTTTTAGCAAAAGCTTCATCTTTGCCTTAAGAAAACCCTGTCCGTTGTTTTTGTGTGTCTGGGTTAACATGGCTTTGAAATGTCGGGTTAATTCTATTTCTCACACCCCTGAAGTGTGGCCACCCTCAAGGGAGGCACGGTTTTGTCAGCTCCCCTGTAATCCAGTCCCCACCTGCTCTGTCCCACCTTCATTTCACCTTCCTCACATTCCCTTCTTGGTTCCAAATGCATTAAAAAAAAAAAAAAAAAAAAACTGCCCTGTGCTGGTGCGGCTCAGTGGACTGAGTGCCAGTCCATGAACCAAAGGGTCTCCGGTTCGATTCCCAGTCAGGGCACATGCCTGGGTTGTGGGCCAGGTCCCTGGTGAGGGGCATGTGAGAGGCAACCGCACAGTGATGTTTCTCTCCCTCTCTTTCTCTTCCCTCCCCTCTCTAAAAGTAAATAAATAAAATCGTTTTTAAAAAAAATCCTGAAAACTGTTATTCTGGGGAGCATTTAGATCTTGCCTCCTGGCAGTTTTCAGTTTTGGCTCAAATAAACTCTTATTAACATTCTCTACAGGTTTGGAAGTTACAGAAACCATTTTTCACTGTGAAAATAAGATATTTTTGTTATCTCTCAAATAAATTAAATAAGGTTTTATGTTCCTTGTCACTCATTAAAAAGAAGGTATTTCTAACATCTTATAGCCTTCCTCAAAAGTAAAAGCAGTTGTGTTTTGAGAACTGAAGCTAATGAAGCATTACATTTTTGTGTCATGACTTAGCTAAACATATTTAATGCTTAGGGCATAGTTGGTTTACAAATATTTTTTGGACTTTAAGTAAAAGGGTAAAATAACTTTATTTACAATAAGAAGACTTTAGTTTACTTTTGCAGAGAGGAGACTTGATTCCCGAACACTTTGCATTTGACTTTCCATCAGCATTGGTTAGAGAGCAATGGCATACACCCATCACACCATTACTGCCAGTGTTCTTTGTGGAAAAGATCGAGACTCTCCAAGTGACTTGTGGCTGCTCCAAATGCTAAGACAGGGCAAGATTACCCCGTGGGGAGAAAGAGAGGTACCAGTGATGGAGCATGGGCAGGTGCAGGGCTCACGCCTTTCTTGGTCTCTTTCTTTTGCACCTGTCTTCGACTGTTGGCAATCACAGCTCAGAGTCCAGCAAAGGAGCATGAGATATTTGATTGGATAGACAATTACCTGATTAGTACAGGACTAGATAAGAGAGCTAAAAAATTAAGATATGCCAAAGGTTTTACAGAGTCCCTGAGGATCTGTTTGCTAGTTCGAGATTAATGAAACTGCACTGTCTGTGCCTTTTATGTAAGGTTTCTTGAGTTACCAGGTATTAACAAATACAATATAATTTAAAACCAATATACTATCATACTGCGTCTCAGCAAAAACCGGTATTACGCTCCTGAAAAACTGGATTCACGTAAGGAAGTAAACTATGAACTAAAATCTGATGTGGGTATTGGAATTTACCCATTTAAAGCTTAATGGGCCATTGTCTACAGCTTAGAAAAATAATGTCTGTCCAAATTGACCTTTAAATTCTGGCAGAGTCCCTGAAGGGCTTCAACTTCCCTCAAATGAGGCAACGTCGCATTTTCCCTGTAAAATCCTCCAGGACCCTTCTTACAGGTCAGGGTGGGTCTTAGAATTCTAATGCGGCCCACTTGTCCCAGGTGAGGTCTGGTGTCACAGCCAGACTCATGCGGCAGAACTCCGTCCAGTCTTCTGCCCTCGCCATGACATACTAGGGGCACACGGCACACTTACTTTTTCAAAAGATCCCACATTTGAGGGATACACCAGCAGAACCCAGCATCTCAGCCACATACCTCACAGTGAACCCCAAGGTTCAAAGAGCACAGCGACCTTGCACCTGTCCAACACAACTCACCTATCCCCGCCCCTACTCCTCTTCGCCCCGCCCCGGCCCTGGTCCCGCCCCCGCCTGTGCGGGGACCATCAGGACCGCCCCCTATTCCTCGGGTCCCGCCCCGGCCCCGCCTCAGCGAGGACCCACAGGCCCGTCCCCCTGTTTTAGTTTGGAGCTGGAGAGCCGCGGAAGCCATCGCTAGGGCGCACCGGAAGTGCTCTTGCGTGCCTACGTGATTACGGTGGCTCACGTGGGCTTGACGGCCTTGGCGGCTGGGGCTGGGCTTGGGGAGGGAGCCTCTTTCCGGACCGTCGGCGAAGCCAGGGCGGGACAGGGCCCTGGGAGGTGGGGCGAATGGCGGGCGTGGCCAAAGCGCAGCGGGAAAGGTGGCTAGGTTGGGACTGTACGCCTCTGAGCTACGAATCCGGGCGCTTCAAGGGCCAGTTTACAGTTGTACGTAGGGTTACTATGATTTCAAATCCACGTGCTTACGACAGGTGAAAGTGTTTTGATACACTTGGTTACGACAAAGAGTAAAATGTTGCTTTGACGTGGGAATGAAGTAAGTCGTGCTACATCTAATGTCCGTGACGAGCAGCAGCCCAGCAGCTGGGGTGGGGCTGGGCTCATGGATAAGAACCTGTGGAGAAGCCAATTACCTGTAACCTACAGATAGAAACTCACAGAAATTTTAAAAAGCCTTAAATAAATGTAAAGAATCCCATGCGCATGGATTGGGAAAATTAATCTTAAATGGTAACACTCCTTAAATTCGTGTACGGGTTCAACACGATCCCTACCAAAATCCCCAGCTGCCTTTTGCTGAAGTTGACAAACCCTAATGTTAGTCTAGAATGCAAGGGACTCAGGAGAGCCAAACTAGTCTTGAAATGAAACGAAACTGAGGAACTCACTTCCAGATTCAAGACTTACTACAAAGCTTCATGAATCAAGACAGACTGACATAAAGCTACACACAAAGATCACTGGAGTAGAACTGACGCTACAGAAATAACTCCTTGCATTTAAAGTCAATTGATTTTCAATAACGGTGCCAAAGCAATTTGATGAGGAAGGAACAATCTTTCCAATAAACGATGTGGGACAACTGGATACCCATATGCAAAAGAAAGAAGTTGGACACCTAACATACTCAAAAAAAGTTAACTCAAAATTATCATAGAGCTAAATGTAAGAATTAAAAGTATGAAATTCTTACAGGAATAAGGAAAAGACAGGACTAAACATTCATGACCTGGATTTGTTAGGTATGACGCGAAACGCAAAAGCAACAAAAATAAATAAATAAATTGGACTTAATCAAAATGTAAAACTTGTGTGTTGCAAATAATACCAATATATTAGCTTGGAGTATGTGTTAATAAACTGCTTTAGGCAAGTAAAATAGAGTGTGCTTATGTCGCGAAAGCTTCACTGCCAAAATTATTAATTTGGGGCCTCTGTGGAGTGCCTGGGACAAGCCCCGCCCCACTTAAGGCGGCTCCGCCGGGAAGCCGCCTGCAGTCCGACATAGCCCCGCCCTTCGGACCTGGAGCATCCCCCGCGCAACTAGACTAGACAACAGCTAGACCCTGGCGTGCAGCCCCAGCGCGGACGCACGCACGCACGCACGGCGGGCGCGCGCACGCACACGTCTGCGCGGCCGCAAGCGTGTGCCCCCCGGGACGGTCGCTGTGGTATTAGAGTTCGAGAGTCGGCGGAGGTCCGTGTGGGGGGGTGTCGGGGGTCCGGATCATGGGGATGGGTGGCGGGCGTTCGGGCCGGAGGGAAGCGGGGCTGGGCCGGGAATCGGTAGTGGGGTCCTGGGAGGAAGTGGGGCCCGCCAGGGGTGGGGGTTCGGAGTCGGGAGAGGGAGCGGCGATCGGGGCGGCAGCGCCCCCCGCCAGCGCCGCGTGCTGTGGTTGAGGCGGAAGCAGATCGTCCACCGAGTCCCTCTTTCACAGAGGCCAGCACAGTCGCCAGCATGTCGTACATGCTCCCGCACTTGCACAACGGCTGGCAGGTGGACCAGGCCATCCTTTCGGAAGAAGACCGGGTGGTCGTCATTCGCTTCGGGCACGATTGGGATCCTACGTGCATGAAAATGGACGAGGTTCTGTACAGCATCGCGGAGAAGGTACCGCAGCCCCACTCCCGAGGCTCTGCAGTTGCTCGGTGTCTGCTTTCTTTGGCTTTGCTGGTGGGCGGGGAAATTTGAAAGTGAGGGTGAAAGCTGCAGTCCGCACTCGTTCTTCAGGCCTTAATTTCCAGAAGCCACCAAATGAAGAGAACTGACTTGGTGACGAGCTTCCTGAAATTGTACACAACAGGTTCTGCCTTTTTTCTGGGAGAAGTTTCCCGCATTTCCAGTTTTTGAAAATGTTTATGGTCCCTCTCCCTATATAAAATGACTTAAGAATTCCTAGCCATAGGGTGTTTTTCAAAATTTGCATTTGTAGTACCATGAACATAACACATTTGCAGACTTTGGCAAGGGCAGGGAAGTTCACTTTGAAAAGCTCAGCTTAAAAAGTTTGTCCTTTTTTTGGTACCACGTTCATTTGTTGTATTTATAAAGCAGAATGTTTATGTAAATGATATAGTAAATCCTGCTGTTTCCTTTTCTTTCTTTCTTTGCTACCGGCTCTTCGTGTATCACTTCATGTGATTATTTAAATGCAGGGAACAGTTGGAGAACTTAGAATTGTTCCTTGTTAGATCTGGTTTTCCTGACGTTTCACGTCATACACTGGGTTGTCTTGGGTGCTTGTTTGCAGACAGTAAGTATGCAAGTTGTGCGTTACTCTGTAACAAGGCCTCAGTTCTTTTTTGAAATTTCTTCATGGCGATTTTAAGATAACAGACGGATTTTTGCAATTGCAGCAATAGAGCAAAAGGCAAATATACCAGAGTGTTAATGAAGTAATTAACTTCTTAATACCTTATGAATGGTCTCAGAGGTTATTCATTTTATTGAAAAGTAAAAGTGGACACATTGAAACTGTCTTCTTTTTAAAGATTTCATTTATTTTTAGGGAAGGGAGAGAAACATCAGTGTGTGGTTACCTCTTGTGCACCCCCTACTGAGGGCCTGGCCTGAAACCCAGGCATTTGCCAATTGGGAATCTAACCGCCAACCCTTTAGTTTGCAGGCTGGCAGGCAATCCACTGAGCCACACCAGCCAGGGTGAAATCACCTTTTCTTTATGGTAATAGGAGATGCTAACACAGGCCAGGTTAAAGTGACATTTTGAGTCAGTACTAACAGAGATAAAGGTACATCTTGTACTTAGGAAGGGAAAACTGATTTTACAGTCTCCTGTTCATAGGAGAGGCAGGGTGGGGGTGGGGGTGGCACTGTGGACGTCAGGGACCCGTCTTCCATGTCAGTCATCATCAGTGCCACTGGGAATACTTACCAAGTGCGTCGCCGAGATTCTGATTCCATGGGTCCAGAGTGAGGTCCGGAAACAGCTCCTGTAACAGCCTGCCTGGGAAGTTGTGGTGAGACTTTCAGAAACCCCGCAGCAGAGGCCTGGGTCTGAGTACGAGTGTGGCGCCGGTCGGCCACTCCCAAGGCACTGAGGGACTTTAGGAGATGCCTGGGGAGCCCGGAGACCCTCGAGTGGGACGTTTGTTCATTGTTTCAGCTGCAGTGGTCAAGGGCAGGTGCTGCTGAGCTGGGGGGGGGGGGGGGTGCACGCTACTGAGCACTTTCCCAAGAAGCAGAAGCAGACCGTTAGCGTGCTGTCAACTAACCTTGGGTGTGTGTTCTGGGTTCTGCCTTGCAGGTGGCAGCTGCATCACCAGGTGATGTCCTGACCCTGCTGCCAGCAGCGCCAGGCTAGGGTGGCTAGGACATGAGGGTTGGCTGGCTCTTCATGTCTGAGCAAAACTCAGCAAGGTGCCCTTGGCTAGGAGGCAGACTGTGTGCGTAACGCAAGTTTTTAAGGGTTTTGACCAGAGTGGCTCTTTCCCGACGCCTTTCTGTCAGTTTTAGAGCGAATTGTGGTGTCACCGGTGACCACACTCTTGTAGTGAACCTGTTGATGTGATCAGTTTAACTAGACTCACTTTGAGTATTTTTCTCTGGCCTTTTGAGTACCCTTTTTCTTTTGTCCAAAAATTTGGATCTGTATTTTAATAAACTTTCAGTGTTGTGGTATCACATAGCTATTCAAAATGCAAACTTGAAGTTTATTATAATGCTCTTAATGTTTTATTTCCTTCTTAGTATAAGGGCAAAATATGAATTTATTATTCTAGAAGTTCTTTGGGGGAAGCTCAACAAGAATTTTTGATATGTGAGATTTTAGTATAAAGAACAATTTAACTCTGTTTAAAAATCTCCCTCTGCAGAAATGGCAGATAATGGGGGATCTTCCTCATCTTGTTACGAGCCCCGTTTGGATATCCCAGCTGTTTTAAAGTGAGTAAAAGTTCCCACGCTGAGGCTGAGATGTGCAGTGTTGACTCGATGCTCTGACAGTGCCGATCCTCGTACTGGATTCGTTTTGAGCTGCACTGAAATGGGGAGATGCTCTTTACAGGCGTCCCGAAGTTGGTAGAGTGATAATAACAAGGTTTTCTGTTAAGCAGATGGTTTTATGTGCAGCTTCCTGCCCGCCCCCCCTTTTTTTACTTTGATACCAGAGAAAGGGGGAAGGAGGGAAAAAGAGAGAGAGAAACAGTGACGTGAGAGAGAAACATCAATCGGCTGCCTCCTGCATGTGCCCTGACCAGGGGCTGAGCCCTCAACCCAGATGTGTGCCCTGATGGGGAGTTGAGCCCACGACCTTTTGGTTTGCGGGACAACGCCCAGCCCACGGAGCCACGTGGCCAGGGCTGTATGCAGCTGTGAAGAGAGACTGGCTCTCCCCGGAGCTGTCTGCCTGTTGTCTGTAGGGACACAGTCTGTCACAGCCCACCGTTACCTAAGTCTCATGAAAAGTGAGAGTAAATGGGATGTTTAATTTTTGTGTTAAAAAGCCCAGAAAATAGAGTTTAAAACATGTAGCACCCCAGTGGTATTGGCTTGGAATTATATGTTCTAAATGGAACTGTGTGTAAGGCAAGCACACTGATGGGACTCTTTGGGCGTGACCCTGGGGAGTTTCCTGAAGCAGCACATGATGTGAGCGGACCAGTAGAAGCCGGTGCTCATTCAGCGAGGAGTCTGATGGGAACCAGCAGAAAGTGCACTTCCGTGTTTGCTGTGGGTTTGCAGCTCTGGGTGTAGAGCCTTCCAGTAAAGCAGCTCCGGGTGGCAGGACTGAGGCTGAGCTGGAGTCTGCCACCTGCTGCCGGTGTGACCTGGAAGTCTGTAGGAAAAGGACAGCGGGGCTGAACCCACCAGGAGCTGTGAGAGCAGAGCGGACAGAAAGGCCTGCAGAACACTTCCTGTAACGTAGCGAGTGGTCGGTCCACAGTCCCTTGTTGCCATCATGATCGCTTATCTCACGTCACAAAACTTGGAACAGTCGTCATGAGTGGAGCTAATCAGGGCACGCAGTTTGAGAGAATAAAGTCACCATGTAATTGTTTTTGAGGATTTGAAATGAATCACCTAGAAGTGTAATAATTAGGCAAGGGACAGTACAGACCACGTGTCCTGGTGTGTCAGAGGGGCTCCTAGCCAGTGCGGGGGCTCCATGCAACGCGCACGGCAGTGGCTAGTCACCAACTCCCTGAAGAGGCAGACACTTTGCTCATTAGTGTGCGGGCAGCAGGCCTGGAAAGGGTGTTCACTAATGCAGATGATGTAAAGAATGTGGATATTAAAAATAATTGGATAATAAAAGTATAATTTGTAAATGTCATTCATGGTTAAAAAAATACTACTCAACTCCCAGTTATGACTACAATGGAGCAGGCAAGTGTTTTGAATATGGTAGACTTAAGCAGGTAAGTTCTCTGTGTCATTTGAAAAGACGATTCCCATGAGTAAATGGGAAAAGAACTTGAAAAGGGGAAATTCTAGTGGTTAAGTAAACTTCAGAGAAATACATTAAAATGGGGCACTGTCATTTCTTTTTTATGTCAGAGACAGAAAGGTGTGGGGTGTGCTCCAGCCGGGACGTCCAGGTGGTGGGGTCAGTGTCGCACAATGAGCCCGGCGAGCAGTCACTGTTCTCAGCACCCGGCCTTTCAGAGGCGAGGCTTGGTGCCCCACAAGCCCATGGCTGTCATTTACAGCGACAGTGGAAGCAGCCACAGTGTCAGTGATGGGGGGTGGGGGGATGGACCGGGTGCAGTGCCAGGTGGGACCCAGAGCCCTCCCATGGGTCCCAGCGGTGCCAGAGCAGGCACCAGCAGTCGTCAGTCAGGGCTCGGGCCTTGGGGTTTAAACTGGAAACACGCACCCTCCCGGTGGAATGTTACGTGGCCATGAAGGAGGGTTTTCTCCTGGCTCTAGTGAACGTGAGGGAGCAGTGGCGTCAGCTGTGGGAAAGCAGAGTACAGGCTGTAACCATTTGATGAACTGTTTAATGCAGCCATGAAAGTTGTGTTTTTGTCAAGGACAGTGTATATGAGAATGCTTGTGATTAAAGCCGGGCACTAAATAATCGTATCTGTATGATCACATTTTGTTAAAACAATATGAACAGATTTTTTAAAAAAATTTTTAGTGGGGAAGGGAGGGAGAAAGAGAGGGACAGAAACATCAATGTGTGAGAGATACACCTATTGATTGCCTCTTGCATGCCCCCTACTGGGGACCTGGCCTGCAACCCAGGCATGTGCCCTGACTGGGAATTGAACCAGCAACTTTTTGGTTCCCAAACGGGTGTCCAATCCACTGAGCCACACCAGCCAGGGCTGAACAGATTTTTACAATATAAATATGTATATACCAGAAAAAAATCGGAAAGAATACACTAAAAATACTTTTGCAGCAGTTAACTTTGTGTTGGTATTGAAGGTGATTTTATTTTTCATTTTTTGGGGTTTTCTAAATCTCCTTCAATGAACTTATAATTAAAGAAAATTTGACATAATACAATACTATTTGGGATACTAGTCTTTCAGTATTTACAAGAGGTGAAACCTAAGCACACGGGGAATGTATAGCTGAAATCCAAAGGCATGTTCTCAAGCAGTTGTTCAGTGCACCCAATGAAGTATTCATAAAAGTACAAGTTGGAAAAGTTTGTGTAGATTATTGCTAGGTCAGTGTGAATAGTAACACGTGTGGACATTTTCTGCAGACTCTTTTAACTTGCCGTTCTGGAAATGTTAAAAGGAGGTGTAAACGGCCAGTGAATTGCTCAGAATCCTGGGCTTGTTGGATTATTTTCTGTGCTAACACTATTGGGAAAAATGCTGGAGAGTTAGTTTGGAAACTGTTCTATTACACACAGATGGTTGTTTTTACTTTTAATGTACTTTTGCAGAATACAAGATTGATTTGTTATTTTAGATTTTTTTCAATCTTTTTTACTTTCAGGTTAAAAACTTTGCAGTTATTTACCTTGTGGACATCACAGAGGTGCCTGACTTCAATAAGATGTACGAGCTGTACGACCCGTGCACGGTCATGTTCTTCTTCAGGTGCGTCCCTCCCCCCCTCCCCCTCACTGAGGTTGCCCTCTCACGGAGTGGCTGGTCTGGAAGTTTAATGTGATCAGTGTGCCTTCAGATCCTTTTATTCAGAAGGAAGTCAGCTACATAGCCTTGTCACTTACAGTCTCCAGGCAATCAGTGCAATCTTTTAAACAGTTTCCAAAGTAACACAATTTCCAGTTTTAGCATTTCCTCAGTAACAAACTACTCTTTTGAAATAACTTTGCCCAGAAACCTAGGTGAGGTGTAATTCAATGGAAAACATCTTTACTGACATTTAAGGTACCTTTAAATAACCTGTTGATGAAAAATGTCTTTTAAAATAACTTACTTTTGAAATATGATATCAGTGACTCTATTTAGTGTTCTTTGTGAAACCTGCACTTCATTTCTTTGCTTACAAGTTATTTTATCAGCTTAGACATTCTGTTGTAGACTCTAGCCTGTGAATTATTGGCCTGAAGAACAGAGTTTCTCTAACTGCCTTAGTTGCATTCGATTCCACAGCTCACGGGCTTTGCTGCAGAGAAAGCCGTGGGAACGGACACCGGCTGGGGCTATAAGGGTCTGGTCCAGATGCCACGTACATTTGATGGTATTCGTTTAGCAGTAAAGTCAAGTCACATCATGAGTAAAGAAATAGCTCTGTTGTGGAGGCTTCATTAGAAAGAAACCGCCCTTGGACATTGTCACATGTGCCAAATGTCTCCCTGCTGCTGTCGCCACACAAGCCGGTGGGCGGCAGTGTCGTGTCTGCTCTACACGTGGAGCCCTTGTTGGCGAGGGTGGTCCAGGTGGGCTGTGCAGGGCGTGCCTCAGCTTCGTCGTCCGAGTGACCAGTCAGCACAGCGTTGTGGCTGAAAACCACCGTTTGTGAGCTGGGGATCCCGCAGGCCCAAGGCGGGCAGGTTCTGCGGGTTCTCTTGGGACAGGTTGGTTGGGGGAGGATCCCCGATGCTCAGCCAGGTTGTTGGCTGGGTCGGGGCCCCCTCGGAGGCTCTGATGACCGTGCACCTTTCCCTGCAGGAACAAGCACATCATGATCGACCTCGGCACCGGCAACAACAACAAGATCAACTGGGCCATGGAGGACAAGCAGGAGATGATAGACATCATTGAGACCGTGTACCGCGGTGCCCGGAAGGGCCGCGGCCTGGTCGTGTCTCCGAAGGACTACTCCACGAAATACCGATACTGAGCGCCTGCTGTGGGCGGGGCATGTGCGCTGGGCAGCCCTTCTCCTGTGGAGACGGGCGGGACTCAAAGCCTTTTCGGAGGAGTTTGGGGGAGGACGGGCCTGCGTGGCCTCAACCCGGAGTTGGCCTGGTGGCCATACGTTCATATTTGCAGACGTCTGTAAATATCCAGCTGAAGTAAACAAGTGTGTGGTGATGGGGACGTCCTGGTGGTTGGATTCTTGTGTAGGTCATAGGCTTGGGAGGAGCTTAGTTCTCTAGCCCTGGAGTGAAGGTCAGGGGGTGCCCTGTGACTGCTCGGTTTTGCCTCCCTGGTGGTGAGGTCTCTGTTTCCCGGGCTGCTGGAGTGAAGGGCCAGAACCTGGGCCACCTGGCAGACGTTCCTGTCTCAACAGCCTGGAGACCGGACATTGGGGCCCCAGGCATCCCCCAGCCCACCCCAGTCTCAGCTCTCATTTTATCTAGGCCTCCCTGAGTTGTGTCTGTGTTCAGATTTCTTTTTTTAAATTATTTTTACAGAGAAACGTTGATTTGTTGTCCCACTTGCTGACGCATTCATTGTTTGAGTCTTGTATTGTGCTCTGACCAAGGATTGAACACACAACCCTCACGTATCGGGACAGTGCTCTAAACAACTGAGCTACCCAACCAGGGCTAAATGCCCCCTTTGTAAGGACACCGGCACTGGATGAAGGCCGCCTGACTCCAGTGTGACATCCTGAGTAATCGCATCTGCAACATCCCATGTCCACTAAGGTCACATCCTCAGGTCCCAACACATGTATCCAGGGTGGGAGGGTGTATGCCCTGCAACCCATAACAGAATCCAAAAGTGTCTTCTGGTTATGAAAACAGTGCAATAAAATGATTTGGGAGGCCTTTCTTTTAAATATGAAGAGTACACTGCTTCTTATTCCTCCTAAGATTGTATCTAATGTGCTTAAACATGCTGTGTTCTCTGTAGAGTCCACAAAACCTCTTTCCCATAGCTTCCACTTCAGGTTCAAGTTTCTCCTCAAGCCGCCCGGGAGCAGGGTGGTGGGGTGGGGAGCATACGTGGAGCCGCTGCCCCTCCCAGGTTTCACGGTGCAGGGTTGGGGGTGGGCAGTCACTTCCTGGGCAAGCGGCTCAAGTCCGTAGTGAGAAGGGGATGACAATGACCGGAAAGAAGGCCTGTGGTGTGCTAACGAGAACAGCTACCCAGTGAGCGGCTGCTGGCCAGCTCACAGACCACTGCTCACGCCCTTGAGTGTGCGTGGGAACTCCAGGCTGGTAAATTCTTTCACAACTATTTACACCTTTCTTCTCCCAAACAAGATGTGAACACCCACCAACTCCACCTGCTGCTGCTGCTGGTTTAAACTCCGTGCCCCAGGACCTGGCCTTTTTCTAGCAGATGAGTCATGGGTACGAGTGCTCATCATGGGTTATTTGTAGTAGCGAGAAAGCCTGGTAGAACCTCAGTGTCTGAGACAACAGGCTCTCAGCCATAAAAAGTGTGTGTGAAATGTTCACCTAGGAAAAACATTCGTGCCCTAGCTGGCGTACCTCCATGCTTGAGTGCTGGCCAGCAAGTCAAAGGGTCCCCGGTTCAATTCCCAGTCAGGGCACATGCCTGGGTTGCAGGCCAGGTCCCCAGTAGGGGGATTGTTTTTGCCACACAAGAGGCAACCACACATTGAGGTTTCTCTCCCTTCCCATCTCTAAAATAATAAAATCTTAAAAAGTGTTCATGACATGCAAAGAAAACAGGATATAAACACATCAACTATATAAAATGGGGTGAATAGATGTTAAACTTGGAGCAGTGTGGCTTAGCTGGGGCATCATTCCACGCACCAAAGGGTCCCAAATTCAATTCCCAGTCAGGACACACACCTGGGTTGTGGGTTTGGTGGGGCACATGTAGCAGTCGTACTTCTCTGGATCAATGTTTCCCTTTCTCCCTCCCCACCTCTAAAATCAATAAATCAAGTCAAAGGAAAAGATGTTGACAGTAGTTAATCTAAAGTGTACAATTATGGTAGATTTTGAATGATGAACATGATTTATATGCAGCAGTAATTTTTTTTTTTTTACAGTGAGAACCTATAACTGGCCCTTTTGGGGGTGATCAGCCTTATTTCACTGTAGCTCCAGGGAGAGGGGAACTGGGTGACTGGAAGTGCCATCTTCGCTACCTACAGAGACCTAGTTGCCAACTGCCTCCAGGGTGCAAGAGGCGAGGGCACCCGGAGTCCGCGTGCTCCTGGCTCACCTGCCGCCTTGGCTCTCACTAGGTTTTGTTCAGTTTGGAGAGCACAGCGCTCATAACCCGTCTGGACTGCACAGATCAAAGTGAGTCTGTCCAAGAACCCGTGCCTGGAAATGCCGGGTGATGCAGCCGTTGAAAAAGCAACTTCTACTAGGAAACTGCTGGTGATCTTTGAAGAAGATTACATAGACTTGAATTCAGAAAGAAATGGACCTCACACAGCTCACGCTTCTCTTGCACAATTCCCAAAGTTAGGTGTGGATGGAAATGTGTACTGCCATCTGGCACACCTTTTGTTAAGGGGTTCGTTACCTTCGGAGCTGCATTCTTATCCCATGGCCTTTGTTTTTATGATCTTATTTTACTAAAATGAATTTTCAAATGCTGAAAATCAGGACTCAGATTATGTAGATTACTAAGAAGTTTTCGAGGACTTCTGGCCAAGATGGAGGTGTAGGTAGACACACTGCGCCTCTTTGCACCACCAAAAGAAGGACAACACAATTTAAAAACAAAAAACAACCAGAACTGACAAGACATAACTATGGAAATCTAACAATCAAGGAGTTAAAGAAGACACATCCGTCCAGACCTGTAGGAGGGGCAGAGATGGGCAGCCAGGCAGAGAGGACTCACGGCAAGGCGGTGGCTGGAGGACCCAGTGAGGCGGCGGATTACGGAGGGCTGCGAAAGGCTGCAGCTGGCTGGCAAGGCGGCGAATGGTGGAGCCGGTGGCCCTGCATTCATGCGCAGATAAACTGGGAGAAGCAAGTGGGGAGCGGGATGGAGTGCACAACCCAGGGCTCCAGCTCGGGGAAATAAAGCCCCAAAGCCTCTGACTGAAAACACCCATGGGGGTTGAGGCGGCAGTGGGAGAAACTCCCAGCCTCACAGGAGAGTTCACTGGAGAGACCCACAGGGTCCTAGAATGTACACAAACCCTCTCATCCTGAAATTAGCACCAGAAGGGCCCACTTTGCTCGTGGGTAGTGGAGTAAGTGACTGAAATCCAGCAGAGAGCAGAGCAAGCGCCATTGTCCCCTCTTGGACCCCTCCCCCAGAAACAGCGTCACTACCCAGCGTCCTGGGTTGCCCCGCCCTGGTGAACACCTAAGGCCCCGCCCCTCATACGTAACAGGTGCGTCGAGACAAAAAAAAAAAAAAAAAAAGCCCAGACGAAAGAACAGATCAAAGCTCCAGAAAAAATACAACTAAGCAATGAAGAGATAGCCAACCTATCAGACATTCAGTTCAAAACACTGGTGATCAGCTCTGGCTGGTGTGGCTGAGTGGATCGAGCACTGGGCCTGTGGACAAAAAGGCCAGTTCGATTCCCAGTCAGGGCATGTGTGTGGGTTGTGAGCCAGGTCCCCGGTAGGGACATGGGGAAGGCAAAGGCAACCACACATTGCTGTTTCCCTCCTTCTCCTCTCTAAAAATAAATAAATCTTTAAAAAACCCACTGGTAAACGGGATGCTCACAGAATTGGTTGAATTTGGTCGCAAATTACATTTAAAAAATGAAGGCTATGCTAAGTGAAACAAAGGAAAATGTACAGGAAACCAACAGTGATGGGAAGGAAACTGGGACTCAAATCAACAGTGTGGACCAGAAGGAAAAAAGAAACATCCAACCAGAAAACAACGAAGAAACAAGAACTTAAAAATATGAGGAGAGGCTTAGGAACCTCCAGGATATCTTTAAACATTCCAACATCCAAATTATACAGGTGTCAGAGGAAGAGCAACAAGTGGAAAAGATTTGAACAAATAATAAAGGAGAACTTCCCCAATCTGGCAAAGGAAATAGACTTCCAGGAAGTCCAGGAAACTCAGAGAGTCCCAAAGAAGTTGGACCCAAGGAGGAACACACCAAGGCACATCATCATTACATTACCCAAGATTAAAATGAAGGAGAGAATCCTAGAAGCACAAGAGATAAGGGGGCAGTCACCTACAAAGAAGTTCCCATCAGACTGTCAGCTGATTTCTCAAAAGAGACCTTATAGGCAAGAAGGGGCTGGAAAGAAGTATTCCAAGTCATGAAAGGCAAGGACCTACATCCAAGATTGCTCTATCCAGCAAAGCTTTCACTTAGAATGGAGGGGCAGATAAAGTGCTTCTCAGATAAGGTCAAGTTAAAGGAGTTCATCATCACCAAGCCCTTATTATTTGAAATGTTAAAGAAATTTATCTAAGAAAAAGATTTAAAAACATGAACAGTAAAGTGACATCAAACTCACAATTATTAACAACCCCATCTAAAACAAAAACAAAAGCAAACTAAGCAAACAACTAGAACAGGAACAGAACCACAGAAATGGAGATCACATGGAGGGTTAGCGACAGGGGAGTGGAAGAGGGAGAGGGGGGAAAAGGTATAGAGAATAAGTAGCATAACTGATAGAAAATAGACAGGAGGAGGGTAAGAATAGTATAGGAAATGTAGAAACCAAAGAACTTACATGTATGATTCATGGACATGAACTAAAGGGGGGGAATATGGGTGGGAAGGGGTGTGCAGGGTGGAGGGGAGTGAAGGGTGGGAAACCCATTTTAATATTAACTATATTAGCATAATCAATAAAATATAGTTTTAAAAAGTTTTCACTTTATCAAATTTTCAAGTGACTGGTCCGCTGTCTGCAGGAGTAAGGGGAAAATGGAAAGAGGGAAAGATCTGCTTATACACCAATTAATGCCCAGTTAAATAAACCAGAACCCACGCTTTGGATGAAGGTGCCTTCATTCCCTGAGATGACAAAAACACCCTTTGCGTGGGCAAACTCCAGCGTGCAGAAAAACGTGATGACGAGTGACCTTTATTTCAGTCAGCTGGGGTCAACGAGGACTCCCTGTGAGGACCAGTGAGCAGGGCACCACGTGTCCACTTTCCATCGCCGGGGTTCCAGGGGTCTGGAGAGCCCCCTCCTGTCTGTCGAAGGAAATGTGGTAACGGTGTCACAGGTGTAGTGTGATGCAGAGACTGACCAGGAGCCCGGTCTTTCTGAATGTAGAATAGTGGTTTTTGACGTTTTGGGTCATGGACTCTAGTTCCATTCACAATGGCCACAACAGGAACATGAGTTTGGAGGTTTGCCGAATCCACTGAAACCCAGGGCGCAGGCTCTGACCTAACATCACCAAGCACAGATTTAGCCAAATGAACCCAAACTTATTTAGGCCTTTTAATGTCAAGGGCATTGACGGTGTTTGAACAGACAGACTTAGATGCCTGCTGGCTCCTCTCTGCTTCTTTAAAGAATGGCTGCATGAGCGTCAGAAAGTGAGGTCTTGATATGAACTTAACCATATAACTTGATGCCCAGTATTTGGTGGGGTTTGACCAGATTTAAAACCCTGCTGGAATCTAGGTGATGAGGGAAGAAACTAAGTTCCTGCACTGCCATCCTGTGCCAACTGGGGGTCTTGCAGAACCTGGCCCACTGTCCCTGCCCTTGGGCACTGGCTTGTCCCCGGCGAGCCCTCAGGTGAGTGGCCCAGTGACCAGGAGGCCTAGAAGGAACTGCAGGGCAGGTGGGCCCACCTGATGCAACCTCAGCGAGGCAGGTGTGTCTTCACCCATGGAAGTGCTTGAGTGCCCTCCCCAGTGTCCTCCAGATGGAGATGTTTATGTCTCGGGCAGTGGACTAGCTCCAGTTTAGCAGGCAAGTATGGGCGATTTGTCCTCTGACTTAGGGTAATGATTGCCAAAGAAATGGGAGAACAAAGGCGTGAAGTTATTAAAATAGGCTCATGTAATCAGAATAAGATGTCAGTAAAACACGTATGTATCTTAGTGAAGTTGTGCCTCTCCACATGTGTCACATGGACACAAGTTCGGTCCAAGACCTGAAAGTAAGCATTTATTTGTATCTCAAGGGCCCCTGCAAAATTCCACTGGGAAGGCAGGGTCCTGCTGATCTGGAAGCAGGTGGAGGGCTTAATGCAACATGTGTTCAAATGGTTCCATGACTGCACTGTCTCCAATAGAAACAGCTAGTTATAGTCCCCAGTGTCTAAATCGTCATGGCTTGTGTTTTGACTAAAGATTAATTGGGGGGGCAGTAAACACGTGCTTGAAGGAAATCCAATTTTTAAATAATAAAGCTTCTCATTTGAAACGTGCACTTCTAAAGGAATATGATAAAGAGTGTTAAATTGGTCTATTAATTTTCTTTACTTACTGATTTTGAGAGGGAGAGAGACAGAGAAACATCAACTTGTTGTTCCACTTACTGGTGCACTCATTGGTTGTTTCTTGTTTGCACCCTGACCAGGGATCGAACCTGGCACCTTGGCTTATTGGGATGATGCTCTAACCCACTGAGATGCCGGGCCAGGGCTCAGCTGGTGTATTTTGAAAGGAGCATTTGTGAAAGACTTGTTACCCCTGAAGGTTTTTCAGGTACAAAGGCAGGAACTCCCATAGTGAACAAATGCAGGATTGCGTTTCCGAGAGGAAAGCGATCACAGGCTCCGCAGGAAGGAACCAGTCCCCAGCCTCAGCCTTACCGTCTGTTTCTCTGTAGCGCTTGTGATCCCAGCCTGCACCATCAGCTGGTCCACGTTGCTCTGCAGGTCCTGGAGGCGCCTCCCCATTTCTTCCAGTTCCATGTCAAGGAGCACAGAGCTTCTGCCTGGAAAGCCCTGCAGCATCCTGCACCTGGTCTGGCAAGCGCCCTCCCTGGCTGCCACCTGTAAGCCCCCCGAGGTCCGTACGGGTGCTTCCTGGAGGTCTGTGGGAGTTGTCTCTAAGCTCAGCTCTGAAGGCTTGGCTCCCCAGGTGTGGGCACAGGGGCAGGGAGGGGAGGTAGTCTGGCATGTTTCACTGTCTTAACCAAACTCTAATGAGGTTGCAGATATTATGGAAATTAACTCAGTTTGTCATGTTCAAGATTTTTTTCCTGTGGGAACCCACCTACAGAATCAGAAATTGCAAGTTCTACGTGCAAATACTTTGCACACAGCGTTTAAGGAACAAATTTGATTGTGAGAAGGGAGCTCACGCTGGGCACATCTAATAATTTAACAGTTGCCTTCTCTGGATCTGCTCAGCTGGCAACAAACACTCTCTCCAAATTGTGTTTGAATTCATGTCTCAGCAAAAACGGTGAGCTGCTCAAGGTGCAAAACAAAAGAGGCAGGGAGCCAGGTGGAGCGTCCTGTGTTGGAGGTCTTCTGGGTTCTGTCTGTGGGTTTTTGTCTGTCTGTGTTCTGTCTGTGCGTGGCAGCGCATGTGAGATGCTCCCAAACAGACCACAAATGTAAGGCGTGGTGGGAGGGCGTGGCTACGGAGTCATGTGTGGTGTGTCCACATATTTTATTGCCACACAAAAATGCCTTGTGCTGCTGGCCAAGCAGGGAGAAATCATCTGTGACTGGTAATTAATGCATCAGGCTGCCACTTACAGGCACAGGTGGAAACAGGAAATCCTAGGCCAAAAATCCTCCACTAAAAAGCTATTCCACGTTATCTAACAGCCCAAAGCATTGCAGTTTTTGCTATAAAATAGAAAAGGATATTTTTGAGATTTAATGTTGCAGTCAGAGCTTGAAAATGTTCTTCAAGTTCCTGATATAGATTTTCTGCCTGAAAAAAATGAACCATAAGACAATGAAGGTAATACTTGCTCCTGATGTTGGGCGTCTCAGGCACCATGGAACAGAACCACGCATGAAGTTGATTTTTGACAAGGAAAGTCCTTTCAATAAGTGGTGGTGGTGGTGGTGGGGACGATAATAAGCTGGTGACCCCTCTCTCTCGAACCACACACAGAAACCTACCCAAGGGGACCCTGCACCTAAGTGTGGGCACCCGACGACAGCAGGGAGCCCCTGCGACAAAGCCTGGCCCGGGGGTCACAGCCACTGATGTGACCTCAGCCCCTGGCCTGGGGCATCAGCAGGCCGGCAGGCAGGACGTTCCAGAAGTGTGCCTGCCGAGGTGGACAGAGGCAGACGGGACCTGTGCATCGGCTGCTTTGTGCTTCACCTGGGACCTCAAACCACCTGGGCCTGGGCTGCTGGCCGCCAAGAACACGCCTCGCGGTGTGAAGACCACTGCCCACAGCCAGCCGCTGTGTCCTATACCCAGCTGGTCTCCTTCCTCCGGACCACGCAGGTGTAAGGACCTACACCATCCCACAGTGGTGCTTCCTGATCCGTCCTTGACTAGCTCCGCCTGGCGGAGAGTGGGCGGGGGCGCAGCGGGGTCCGCAGGTCCCACCGGGCCACAGGGTGGGTGGGAGAGCCAAGAGGGAGGGGTGGAGCCCGACTCACCGCGCCCCGCAGCGTGCGCCCAAGGTCTTCGGGTCCCTGTGCATCCATGTGGAGCGGGGGCGAGGGTCTGGCGGTGCCGGTGGGGCCAGGTGGCTCCGGCGGGTCAGAGTCGCGGTGTCCCCTTCTGGTCCGGCAGCCGCCGCCGAGGGCAGGGCTCCTGCTGCGAGGGAATACCAGAGAGTCTGGCTGGGCTGCAGCTCCTCCTAACACAGATGCCCCCGGGAATTCCTGGGCAGGGCGTGCCTCCCAACCCTGAGACACTGAAGCTGCCCAGCAGGTCCTGGGAGAAGGCCTGGAAGGTGAGGGCCAGGCAAGGGGCGGCTTCATCCTGAAGGTCACTGTCCCGGGGGCAGGGGCGCTGCAACCCTCTGCCGGCACAAGGCCTGGGGTCTGGCCTGCTGATCCCATCACACCAGGGCCGAGAGGCAGCCCTAGAGCACGCGGATCTCCTCCCGATCCTCCTCCTCCTTATCATTACTGTGACTTAAAATACACGCGACATAAAACCCAGCCTGTTCACCATTTCTCAGTGCACGGCTCGGTGGCTGGGCTGTGCAGCCGTGACCACCGTCCACCCGCAGAGTTCTTTCATCTTCCCAAACTGAACTGCTGCCCCACTGAACACTCACAGCTCGTCCCTGGGCCCGCTGTCCACTCCATCTATGTTCCACCCCTTCGGTCAGTGTGTCGCTTCTCCAAGGGGGCCGTGGGGGTCCGGGGATCTGGCCCTGTCACCATCCATGCAGAAGACGTGCTCTCTGCGTGCCTGCCAAACCTACGGCCAACTGCCCAGTTAAGAACCCTGCCCTGCCCTGTGTGGCTCGGTGGGCTGAGCGCCGACCCGGACACCGAGAGGCCGCTGTGGGAAAAAATCCCCAGCCGGGGTTTCCCACACCTGGGTTTCGGGCCAGGTCCCTGGTGGGGGTGGGCAGGGGGCACAAGAGGCAGCCACACATTGATGTCTCTCCTTCTCCCTTCTTCCCCTTCTCTAAAAATATTTTAAAAAATAAAACTAAGAATTCTGCGTCCTGCGACCAATTCCTGACACACCGGCAACTTGTGCACTTGGGTTCTGATGTCACTGAAGATCTGGAAGGAAATCCTCACCCCACGCCCTTCCTTCTGGTGCCCTTTCAGCCCTTATGGGTGGCAGCTCCTGAGTCCCTTCATGGGTGGCACTCTGTTTTGCAACTCTTTACCCTGGAAGCTCTGTGGGGCAGGGCTGGGTCAGCCTGAGTCACCCCAGGGGCCCAGCTGAGCTGCAGCCCCAGGCACCCAGGCTACTAGATGTGAAACGCAACCGCACAAGCAGAGCTGCCCGAGATCATTAGTAATCAGCAGGATGCAAATCAGAACCTCCCTGAGGTTGCAGGTCACAGCCACGACGGCTACAGTCAAACACAGACAATAACAGGTGCTAATGGGAGGTGGCCCATCCCGGGCCTCACAACTGCTGTGGGAATGGAAATGGCGCGGCCAGTGTGGGAACAGGCTGCCCGTCCCTGAAACCTCGATTCCACCTTTACGTGATGACCTCTTTCTGCACAAAAAGGTGCACACGAGCGTCCACGGCAACGCTACTAACAATATCAAAAGGGGAAGGAGACGGCCGAGAATCCAGTAGGTGAATCAACAGAACCTGGTCTGTCCCTGCGATGGGGCATCGCTCAGCCGCAAAAGAAAGTTCTGACTGGCACTTCGACCGGATTGTGCCGGGGTTGGTACTGGGTGATTCCAGTCACGTGGACTACCTCGAACATCAAACTCATGACAAAAGCAGATGGTGGGTGCCGGGCAGGGGCGAGAGGACGGTGGTGGTGCCGCACAACCTCATGGGTGCACTGAATGCTCCGCTCCTGGCCCTCCAGCGTGGGCGAGAAGGTCAGTCGGCTTTCTGTACATTTTACTACAATGTATGTTCTCAGAGTACAGCGCCCCAGCTCACCCTTCGAGCTCTAGGCTCAGAATTCCGGGGCCCCTGATTCCCTCTCCCTCCCCCTTGCGGACCGTCTCCACACACCCCCGATAGACCCAGAGCAGCAGGTGGCCGTGGGCTGGCCACCAATTTGCCCACACGTGCCAGGGAGACAGGACCGGCGGCGTGACCCAGATGCGGGCCCTGTGCCCCCGGGGCCACCTCTCACCACCAGGCCTTCCGTTTGGGGGTAATTAGGGTCTGCCGCGGTCGAGGGGAGCGCTGAGGGGCTCCTCGCTCATCGGATCCTGGGGGCCCTGGGCACGCAGGGCTGGCTGGCCTCACACAGGGTCCTCCGGCCCCGCCACCAGCCGGGACCGCCACTCCCAGCCCGGCCTCTGCGTCCTGAGACTGCGTCTCGCCGTGGTGGGGCGCCTCCCGGCGTCCCCGTTTCCTTCCCCTGCACAGGGCACCTTGTGGAGGCGCCGCGGCAGCGGCAGCTCCCGCGTCTCCGGTGCGCGTGCCCTTGTTCTGGGGTCCGGCCGCAGGCTGCGGGCTTTGTCCGCGAGCAGCCGCCCGCACCACCCGGTTAAACTCCCGAACTTCTGAGTCCGTCTCCAACTCCGGGGCCCGACTCCGCCAGAGGATGACCGCGTGGGAGGACTCCTGGAGTCAGCTGGGGCCGCTGCCTGGGTCTCCACACGGGGTGACGCCCGTGCTCACACCAGCCCGGTGCCGCGAGAGGGGTCCCCAGCCACCCGCTACCCGCTGCGCAGCGACAGGATCCCGTCCTCCGCTTCCGAAGGCCGAGCACTGAGTCTGCATGCACGGCGCCCGCCCTGGGCCACGCAGAGACGGCCCACGCGCGCACCCGGCCCCGAAGGGGAGGCCCCGTCGGGCAGGCACCTCTCAGCGAGCGGGGCGCGCGGTGGAGCGGGGCCCGCCCCCACCTCCCCGCCGGGTCGCGCGCTCTAGGACCCGCCGGCGCCCGGCCCGCGGTGGGCGGGGCCAGGTATTGTGACGTCACGGCGAGGCGGGGCCCGGGGTCCGGGCTCGGCCCGGCGGACAGACCGACGCGGGCCGGACCGGCGGAGCCCACGCGGCCGGTGAGGGTCGGGGCGGGGGGGATCCGCGGTGCGCGTGGGCGCGGGGTGAGGTGCGGGCGCGGTGGTCGGGCCCCAGCACCAAGTCCCCGCTGCCCGGGCCGCGCGTCCGCGCCTCGTCCCCCGGCGATGCCGGCGCCCTGACCGCGCGCGTCCTGGAAGGGGATCGCGCCCCAGCCCGGAGTCCCGGAGCCGCCCGGTGCGCCTGCCTCCCGCTGCCGAGGCGCCGAGCCCAGTTCTTCCCCTCTTCTCTCCTGCCAGGCTCCGGCGGCGGCCATGTGGGGGTGACAGCGCGCGTTCCGGGAGCCCGTGGGGACTCAGCCAGGTGGCCGTCAGCCCGCCGGCCGGGCGGCGCAGGTGTGGGCGATGGACGTCCGGGGCTTGGACTGGCTTTTGGTCCCGCTGCACCAGCTGGTCTCCTGGGCGGCGGCCGGAGCCATGGTCTTTGGAGGGGTGGTGCCCTACATCCCGCAGTACCGGGACATCCGGAGGACTCAGAACGCCGAGGGCTTCTCCACCTACGTGTGTCTGGTGCTCCTGGTGGCCAACATTCTCCGGATTCTCTTCTGGTAAAGTCGGGGCCCTCTGCCCGTGGGGGTGCTCCTCCTTTGGGGCTTTCCAGGGAGGCCCGAGGGTGGAGGTGCCTGTGCTCCGCGAGACGGAGCTGGGGGACCCGGAGATGCTTTCGGAGGGAAGGCTGGGGGCTTGGAGGGGAGCCCCTCGCTCGTGATCTAAGGTCTTAGTCTCATTCCGTGTCGCCCGGGCATTTGTCAGGTGCGTGTCCTGGCCTTAGCCCGGGGACCTGTCCCTGGCCCCAGAGGACCTGCGTGGGGGATGGGGGAGAGAAAACAACGGAGTGATTGGTCCGAGGAACAAAAAGCAGTGACCAGTGGGAAGGACACTTTGCTGGCCAGTGGACCCCTCAGGAGGGGACATCCGAGCCTGCTGGGGCCTGTGGAGGGGGGGCAACCCCTTCAGCCTTCTCTGTGGGGTGTGAGGTTCTGTTTATTTTTGAGTAGGAAGTCAACTTGCTGGAAAATACTTAGACTCTTTTGCTTGCTCCTCCCAGCCTTACTTCCTCTTTCTATCATTTACATTCCAGTAAGGAACTTGAAATTAATTCTAAGAGTCGCTGAAGCCAGACAAAACCGGGCGGGCGGGGGCTCAGAGGAAATGAGAAGAGGTTTCGTAGCCTCACTCTGAGGCCTCCAAATCCGGACTTTTCTTTTGTCCATCGGGACTCACGGGTCCCTTCTATCCGAGGAAAGGTTGCTTAGGGGGAGCCTGGCGCTGTTGGCATAATCATGCTCTTTGGCTCATTGACTTTAAGCCAAAGTCAAAGTCTTTTGGCTCATTGATCTTGTTGAGGCACGGTTTCCGATAAATGCAATGGCCCATTCTGCATGTGCTGTTTGGTGAGTTTTGTTGAACTCCCCGCCACCCCCCAGAGTTACTGTTACAATCAAGACAGGAATTTCCTGAGGCCCTGACGCGCCTCTGCTCTGCTCCTCTGACCAGCCCGGGCCTCCACTCACCCTGGGCTGCTGTCCCTGGGCCTTAGTTTTGCTCCTGTCGGGTTTTTAAAAGGCCAGCTGGTGAGTCAGTCACATCTCGAGTCGGTCACCCGGTGAGCCCACTTCTAGGGACGGGTTGGTGGGGGCTTGTTTTTGTTCTGAACAACTTGAAAAGCAGCATTTTGAAGGTTCCTCCTTTACCTTTGGCTGAGGGGCCTCTGAAGCAGAACACCTTGCTTTCCTGTTATAAACTGACCTTGAGTCTAAGGCTGAACAGAGTGGGTTGAAAAGAAATCAACACTGTTGTTGACCCGGAGCCCCTGGCCAGGCACTGGGTGTCTGGGGTAGGGGGTGGGGGCGGCACAGCAAGTCCTTTATTGTGGGGTAGGTTTTCTCCAGCAGTGGAGGGAACTACCAGAGTCGGCTTATCTTATGGGAAAATAGTTCAATTTAGAGGTCTTTCCCTCAGTGTGCTTGTCATTCAAAAGTGCAAAAAGAAAGAAAGTAACACCATATCTAATCTACATCTTGGAATCTTGTTTGGAGGAGTCGGAAGTTGAACCAGCTTCTTAAAGGTCGTCTCATTTAACGGGTGTCCGATGCCTTCAAGATCCATGACCTCCCCCCACTGCAGGGCCTGAGCCTTTGAGAGGGGGCTTGAGCTCCCTCCCTAACGCAGAGCAGGGCGGCCACTGGCAAGTCTCTCTTTGCACATGTGACTGGCCCTTTCCCACTGAGCCAGTACCCTGAGCTGTCCTGGGTCACTTCAGGGGTTCCGTGGCCCCCGTGTGAGCACACAGGGCTTCCTGCAACCGGCATTCCAGAAGGCTGGAGAGACGTGCGGGATGAAGGGAGGGCTGGCAGGGTGCTGGTCCCTTTTTGAGACTCTCTGGCCTGGGTGCACTTTCCTTTATCTCACACCAGCAGAAGGGCGGGCCTCTGTTTGCAACCAATGCTTAATCCACAGCTCTCTGCCCAGCTGGTCCAAGACTCACTACTCAGAGGGCAACGCAGATGCTCCCTTGTATTCCTCTCTCACTCCTGTGTCCCCTTTAGGCTCCATGGGTTAGCAGTCCGTTTGATTTAATAGGGTTAGATGGTTTCCCATGTGCCGGACACAGGCTGAATGCTGTGGTTTGCACTTTGGTGGGAGTGCTGTTTGGGGCGTACCACACACACACACAAAGGTTGTGGGGCATGGGGAGGGAGAGCATGGGTCAGCGGCTGCAGTAGGCTCCATGGGAGGTGGAAACTGGGTCCACAGTAGAACTGGGCAGCAGGTAGGACTGGAGAGTGCCTGTCCCACAGCTGGCTGGAACCACAGTCCTCAGGGCCCCAGTCCACCTGGGAAGCACCTTGCCAGATCAGTGGTGCCATGATGTAAGTGGCTCTGCAGGAGGGAAAAACCACACTGCACAGACCCAGGTTTTGGAAAGTTGGGGAACTCCTGCACCCTATATCTTACCGTCCTCACCATTCTTTTGCAAAACTAGCATTTGGCAAATCATACTTCATAAAATTCTGAGGTACAGGATTTGACCTTTGTGATGTTAGAAGCCCAGATGAGGGCTAAGTGATGTTTTGTACCTAATATTTGCAAGCTTGTGATTCTGTAGAGACCAGGTGGGGGGCAGGGTGAGCGGATGGTGGTGCAGAGTCTCCCCCTTCATGGAGACAGCTCTCAGGCCCATCCCCACTGCATGAAAACATTGTATCAGGGATGCAGTAACATTGTATTGTATTGGAAATGCAGCAACATTGTGCTGAAGGTCTGGTAACACTGTATTGAAGCCTTAGTAACATTGTGTGAAAGATATAGCAACATTGTATCAGAGATATGGTAACAGTTTACTACTAATGGCCACAGTACTCAGGACACGCAGAGAAGTAGATACACAATTTCTCTGCCACTTAAGATTTTTTTCTGTTGCTTTGAGGGGTAGAGATGTTTCCTGTAGAGTTTTGCCTGGACTTGGTAGAACATTGCACGTCCTCTGCAATGTGTATTTCCCTAGGGGTGAGACAAACACACGCTGCAACCAGGGGAGAACCTGCCTCAACTGGCTTCTCTGAGCGCAGGCCTTGTGCCTGTCTGGCGGGCTGTCCTGTCGTCCGTAATAGAAGAGGCTGTGCCAAGCTGCACTCTCGGGCAGAGAGGAAGAAGTGCTGGTCTGACCTCCCTATTTAAGGAAGAAAAAGCATTTAAGGAAGAAAAAGTTTAATTTCATGAGTAAAAAATGGTATCTTTCTCTTTTATTTAGATTTTTAAAGTTATTAGTGGCGTTGAACTGTGTTTCATATTTATTTTGTCCCTTGTGCCTTGTTTGTGGAAAGCTGTGCTTTTTGGAATTTTGTGTCTCAGTCAGCCTGCCTCCTCAAATCAGTTAAGCACTCACTGGTGTCACCTGGCACTCACATTAAACGGTCTCATTTTCACTGTGAACATCAAGTTCATCTAGATTATTCTTGGTGCATTGTGTACGGAGAAGCACAAATGGTGTTTCCCTCCCAGTTTTTCTCACTCATTGTTTCTGTGAACATTTAAAAAGTGGAACTGGCCTTTTCCACATCGTGGCCCAAGTTCCACGCTGTCAGACTTAGAGCTGGGAGCGCGCCATGTGGGAGGGGCCCAGTCTGACTTATTTTGTGTGATGCCGGCTGCTCTGCCTGACACGGAGCCTCTGCTGTCGCTGAATTACCTTCAGCTGTGGGTGAGTACGCCTCCTGGATCAATTGGGCAGGCAGTGGGGACCAGTTCTTAGACGTGACTGGAAGTGTCCCCAAACAGCCTTAAAGGTGGCATCCGCACTTCGTAGAAGAGATGGCTTGGGCCTGCCAGAGGGCCTGGGGGCTGTGGTGAGCAAGGGCCAGCCTCGGGCAGGCCTCAGTCCCCACCTGGGTCCGGGCTCCTGGCTGAGAAAGCCCCGGGCACCAGCTTCTCTTCCCACAGCACCTTCTCCTCACCCAGGCCTGGCTCCCGAGCCCGAGCTTGTCCCGCCCTGTCAGTGGGGTGTGGCATTTGGAGAAGCCCAGAGTAATTTGGAGGGGCCCGGCCGAGGGGGCTGTTGGGGTGCCTCCGCCCGTCTGCACCCAGCCCTGCTCCAGCCACTCAGGACGGGTCTGTTGGCCCTGGTCAGACACGGGTCAGGCGCACGGACGAGGCGCCCCCTGATTGTGATGCGCTGGCCCCCAGGTTTGGAAGGCACTTCGAGTCCCCGCTGCTGTGGCAGAGCGTCGTCATGATCGTCACCATGCTGCTGATGCTGAAGCTGTGCACTGAGGTCCGCGTGGGCAACGAGCTCAACGTCAAGCGCCGCTTCTTTGCAGGTGGGCACCCAGCAACGTGGGGGTGGGGCCGCCGCAACCTCCGAACCTGTCTGTGTCTGTGGGTGGCGCGAGGGCCCCTCAGCCCAGCGTCACCTGAGTGGACCATCTCACCGTGGGGCACTGTCGTCGGTAACCGATGTTGCTGTTTTCAGCATGTGTGTGACTGACCATCGTATAATGTGAAGCGATCCAAGAGAGCGGTTTCTCCCGTGGAATCTGGGTGAGGTGTCGCCTGCTGGGAAGGGCTTGCTCGAGGCTGGGCTGTCTCGGAGTCTGCGCTGGACCGGGGCCGTGCCTGCTGGGCTCCTTTCTGTCAGGTCAGGTCAGGTCAGGGCGCAGTTGTGTCTCGGACTTCCAGTGAGGCTGGAACATCAAGCTGTTTCCTGCAGCCGGCTCCTCGCGTGCCGGTTAGAAATGCTCCGAAGGCCCTGAGTGCGGGGGTTGCAGGTGACTTGCCCCCTGGGCGCGTGTGCTCGGGCAGCGTGAACTCCGGGCCCAGCCCACCAGCTGCTGCACGTTCTGGCTCACGGAGCAGAAGATGCCTCTTCCTGCCTTTGTCTTCTTCTTCGGAAAAGCTCCTTCTGAGCTGCGTTCTACTCGAACTTCAGGCTGGGGGGGTCTTCCTGTGTGCAGAGGGGTTCATGCCTCCCTTCTGGTGTTCTGCTGGTGATGAGTGTGCAGCAGCTCCCACTTTGCTGTGTCTGTGGCTGTGTGTGTCAGTCTTGGAGAGTGTTAGTTCGGGATGCCTGTGGACTTGAGGTCTTGCCAGTGTCTTTGTCCCTGGCGGTCATCTTTCCCTGTGAGTGGTCCCCGCCCCCCCGTTGGTGCCTGTGTTTGAGAGAGAGGGGTGCGTGCTCGCTGCGGTCTTTGTGGAAAGTAGGTCAGCCTTCAGCTTCGATGTGCTGCCTGGGCCAATCAGTGTCACTTACACGATGAAGGTGACCACCCTGCTCCTGGCATGTTCTCCCCGTTGAGGCCATTCTCTCCTCGGGGGCTCTGTCCCTGCCCCCGGTGTCACTCAGAAAGTCATCCCAGAGCTGGTGCAATTGTGTCTCTGGACTAGCCTAGGAAGCAGGGCGCGGTGAGCGGGCCCATCTGGGGAGAGGCACTGGGCTCTGACTTCTCTGGGACACAGGCTTTCTGCTCCCGCAGCTTCTGCTCTCTCTCACTGCACCTGGGCTCCGGGAAGCCTCCCCTTTCCTTTGGCACCGACTTCCTGGAGACCGCAGAGAGGTGGTGGTGGGGGTCCCCAGGAGGGCGGGGAGGCCACGGGCAGTGCAGCCTGTGTGGCGGCTCTGAAACCCGAGAGCAGTGCACGACCTTGTCTGAAGGTGAGGGAGGCTGCCAGATATGGCAGGTGTGGGGGCCTCCGGGTCACGAGGCATCTGAGGTTCAGCATTTGTGTGTCCTCGCGGGAAGGCCACCTGGGCCCACGCCCCACACCCCCTTCCCTGGGGGTCTGTGTGCAGGTCTCCAGGTTGGCTGCGGAGGACACTGGGCACCCTGAGCAGGGCGCTGTGCCTCCCAAGGGGGTCCGCTCTCAGAAGGGCTCTCGGTGAAGTGAGCGGGATGGTGGACAGCTGACCATCTGTCTTGATTTCCGGTGTTCTGTGTGAATTCTTCCGGAAGGAGTGTTTCTGTCCTGTTTCTGTCCGGTTAGCAGGCCCCGCACTGGGGAGGGCGAACAGCTGTTTGCATCCGAACTGCGCCTGCGCGGGAGCAAAGCTGAGTTCTCTCCGGCTTCCTCCCCCCTCCCCACCCCTCCTCCTCCCTCTTTTGGGACCTTGATCCTTAGTCAAGGTGCCAGCCACTGGTGAAATTGGTCTAAATATAAACAAACAGAAGCAAGAGTCTGCAAACATCCACATGACTCTGGGTAGTCAGAGTCAGAAGCACCAGGGGTGCCGCTCGGAGGGAGGCAGGTGGGGCCGGGGACTCAGTGTGGACGGTGCTGTGTGGCCCTCCCACGCTGTCCCAAGTCTAGGCAGCAGGTCTGCTATTTGCTTTTAGCTGTTCATTTGCCAATTTGCACGTTTAGGTGAGTCTGCATGGCCTGGGGCTGGTGACCTTTGATCCCACCTCTGCTTGGTGTTCACGGCATTCACTGGAGGCTCACTCTCCTGTGTAACCGCCTGCCGAGGGCCAGGTGGGACCCCGCTGCAGGCTCTCTGCTCCAGCTGCGTCTTCCAGGGTCTTGGGCAGCCCTCCTGGGCTGGGCGGCTGCAACGGTGCCTCCGAGCCTCTCCCCTTCCTGGGCTGAACCAGCTCTAGGGGAGAATCCTCTGAAAACAGCTTATTTCAAGCAGCCTTCTGCAGAGTTCTGACCCTGGCGCTGGGGCTGAACTGCAACTGACCGCTGACTTCTGTGGGGGTAGAAGTAGAATCTGCTGAGTCAGATGCCACCTCTGACCGTAGCAGTCAAGTGAAAACGTGGCTACTTTTCATTTTTGGTCCAAATTTCCTCCCACTTGTCTAAGCACTTATTTTGGAAGAGGGCAGGTTTGGAGAACAATAGTTCAAAGGTGGATTGCTTAACACACAGAAACCAAAGTCTGTGGTCTTTTTTGTTCCAATGTTTGTTGTTTTTTTTTTTTAAGAAATGCAGCCCTGCCAGTGGGGCTCAGTGGACTGAGCACCGGCCTGCGAACCCACAAGGGTCTCTGGTTTGGTTCCCAGTCAGGACACAGGCCTGGGCTGCAGGTCAGGTCCTCAGGAGGGGTCACGGGAGAGGCAACCACACATTGATGTTCTTCTCCCTTTCTCCCTCCCTTCTTGCCTCTAAAACTACATAAATAAAATCTTTAAAAAAAATATATATATAAAGCATTAAAAAAAGGAGTACAGAAAAGGCTGAGAGTTGCAGCTGCTTCTCTGTGTTAAAACCGTCTGTTTTGTCTTTTCTTCCTTCCTGTCTCTCTCTCTCCCTTTTTAAATGTAGCTGCAGAGAATAAGGATGAGGAAACCAAAGCCCCCCCCAGGCGGTCGTATCTGGGTATGTACATCCTGCATGGGGCTGCCCCCTCCGTGTGGGAGGGGGTCATCTCACGCCAGCTCTGTCCCTCTCTGTCGTCACTGTCATCCGTGCTGCGTCTTGTCCATGCATGTGACAAGCATGCTGTGAGTCCCGCAGACTAACGAGCCCACGGCTGCTGCTTTCCAGCAGCCCCTGGACGCCCGCGCGCTGTGCGCGGCTCTGAGAGAGAGAAGGAAGGAAGGGGGGACGATCGGAGGACAAGCTTTAGAATGTTGATGCTATGGTCACCGGAACTGCCTCCTTAACTTCATTTCGGATTGTTCATTGCTGCTTTGTAGAAATAAAATAGGTTTTCGTGTATTGATCTCGTACCCTGCAGCTTCGATGAACTCATTTGTTGGGTCTCGCAGTGTTTCGTGGGTACCTGGGGGTTTTCTGTGTGCAAGATTATGTCATCTGCAAATGGTCCTGCTTCTTCCTTTCCGGTCTGGTTGCTTTGCCCTTCTTCCCCTGCCTAGTGCAGCCTGGGCGGATTCACGTCCCTTGTTCCTGGTCTTCCTGAGAAGGCAGGTAGCCCCTCTCCACTGAGTGGGATGGATTTTATGGGGTTAAGCAAGCACCCTCTTCTGAGTTTGCTGAGTGTTTTTTATCATAAAAGCATGTTGACATTTGTCACATGCTTTTCTGTGTCCGTTGAAATGACCACGTGGTTTTTGTCCTATATTCCATTATTATACCGTATTTTATAGATTGACTTTTGGATGGGTACCAACCTCACATTTTTGGATAAATCCCGTTGGATCAAGATTTATAGTCCTTTTTATAAATTGGTAGAGTCTGTCTGCCAGTAATGCATTGAGGATTTTTGTGCTCATAGTCATAAGAGATACTGATCTTTTTTATTTTTTCCTTTGTGATGACTCTGGTTTTCGTATCAGGAAAGTGCTCATTTTATGAAGTAAGTTGGGAAAATGAAGTGTTCTCTTTTCTGTTTTTTTTGAAAAGTTTGTGAAGGATTGGCACCCATTCTTTGTTAAATAAAAAATTTTACATTGAAGTATGACATGCAACATTGTGTAAACTTAAGGTGCGTGTGTTAATTATATACATTTATCTGTTGCGATACGATTGCCACTGCAGTGATGACTAGCAGTCTCTCGAGTTACATAGTTATTTCTCTCTGGTGGTTGCAATACTTAGTTTTAGTCTCTGAGCAAGTTTGATGATTCGATGATTGCGATACAATATTGTTTATGTTTACTGTAACGTACGTGATCTCTCCAGGGCTTATTAACTGCTTATTGCACATCTATCGATTCTTTGAATGTTGGTGGAATTACCCAGTGAGGCCATCTGGGGCTGGGTTTTTCTTTGTAGGAAGTGTTTAAATTACTAAAGCAGTCTCTTAGTGTAAGTCTATTCAGTTTTCCAATTGCTTCCTGAGTTAGTTTTTATAGTTTTTTTTTTTAAAACTTGTCCATTAAACCTACGTTATCCAATGTGAAGTGCTACAGTTGTTCTCAGTGCCCCCTGTGTTTCTTTTCATCTCTGAGGTTGGTAGTGACTGCCCCTCCTTCATGGTTGACTTTGAGACTCTCTCTCTCCTTTTTCTTGTGGCCATTCTAGCTACATGTTTCTCAGTTTTAGTGATTTGTTTTCAAAGAAGCAACATTGGCGTTGCTGATTTTGTCTATTGTTTTTCTACTCTGACTGGATGCTGATGACACCTGAAACTTCATCTATTCCCTAAAAACAGGGACTCAGGCTCGTGACCCCGGCTGGTGTCCCGTTTCCTCCTAACAGCAGGAAAGGATTCGGTCAGGCCTGCCCTTGCATTTCCTGGTCCTTGGGAGCAGTTCCCTGACCCAGGCTCCCAGGGGTCAATTCGAGACCCATTGTCCTGGGTCCTGGGCAGCCTTCCCATCAGGGGCCCCCTGGTGCTGCTGCCTCTGGTCCTGCCATTTTCACAGGAGAGTAATCCTTCTTTCTGGGAAGCACTTTGAAAGGATCTGGCTGCAGAGCCTTCTCAGATTTCCCATGTTTACTGTCAACAGCAAGGGCACAGGGCTGCTTGCTTCATATAGTGAATACACCTGTTTGTTCCGCCCCGTTGCCTGGGTCGCAGGTGGGTCCCTGCATCCAGCCACCTTTAGATAGTCCTGGCACCTTGGGCAGGAGCTTCCCAGCCCAGGACACAGCCCCTTCCCCTCGTTTTCCCCTTGGTGCCTGATCGGGTAACTTTCCCTGGCTGCTGCTTTGGAAGGTGATGTTTTGGGCTCCAGGGTCCTGACTGTGGGCGAGACCCTGTCCATGTCGCCAGCCTTCTCCCACTTTAGTGAATTTCTGCGGCTGTGGCGGCCTTTTGCCGGGACTCTCCAGGGTCCTCTGGCTGCAGTCCCCTGAGCTGCCTGACTAGGAGGTTCGCCCGGCTCCCTCTGACGGTTTGAACGTGCAGAAGGGAACGCAAGAGTGCTTTGCTGTTGCTGCCTGCCCAGGAGGGATGAGTTATTCGGGGTCTGCGGTCATGGGCGCCACTGGGCCCTGCCTCCCGTGGGTCTGCTGTGACTCCCTCTTCAGCCATGGCAGGCCTCCCTCCCTGTCCCCTGCACTGGGACCTTTCCAGTTCCCGCTTCCCTCTGTGCGTTGCACTTCCGCTCGATTCCCCAGAGACGTGGTTCTGGGTTGTCTCCTGTTGCTCCCGCCTCACCATCGGCAGATCCCCGTGGTTTTATCAGGGTCTGCAGTCAGTTCTGATGGTGGCCTGAGTGGCAGGTGTGTGTGGGGGTTCAGGGTCAGTGTGGGAGCCCCGGGGTGACCAGCATGGGGGTCCAGGCACTGGGGGCTGCCCAGAGCTTTGGCGGTGGGTTTCTCTGCATGCCCAGATGCACAGAGTCGGTGTGGGTTCTGGGGGCAGGCTGGCTCCCATGCTGGCACCGGGCCCCCGTCCCCTTATCTGGCACCACACAGATATGAGGTCATGGTGACAGTTATGGGAGGCCCTCTCCTCCTCTGTTGGGTGTGACCCAGACTAAGAGGGAGCTGCTGTCTGCATGGTCACCAGCTGTCCTGTCCTAACAGTTGGTCCCAGACCCTCGAGGCAACATTGCCGTGGGCCCTGGTGTGCGAGCCCTTCCCAGGACAGCCTTGTCAGGACAGCGCCGGGCACTCGGGGCACCTGGGCCAGGGGTGGGGCAGGGGGAGCACAGGAGCTCCGGGCCCCAGGAGGCTTCTGTGAGAGGAGAGTGGCCGCTGGTGGCCTGAGCCCGCTGCACTCAGCGCCTCTCTGGCGTGTGGGGTCTTGTGAGCACAGGGACACCTGAGGACAGTCTCTCCCGTGAAAGTGGGGCATGTGGAGGCCCCATGGTCATTGTGGGGCTCTCACCACTGTCTCCAGCAGGTTATTGTCGTCTCCATGGCTGCCACAAGCTGCCACTGTCGGGGCTGGGGCCATCCTGTGTCCTCCAGTGAACCATAGTGAGGGCCCAGCTCTCTTGCTGCTCTGGGAGCAGGGAAAGCTCTGCCTGAACTGACAGGGGCCAGCCACATGGGGGTGCTGGTGGGCTGCCTGGTCTGGAGCCCGGAGGTTGTATAAGGGGGCCATCAATGGGGTACTGCCTGGAAACCCCCTGGGGGGCCGGGAGCACCAGTGGGCCAGGGCTCTGCCCCACCCCCTCGGTCTGCAGAGTCACAGGGTGGCCTGGGGCCCAGGGCCTGTCCGTGCCCCTCTGAGCAGCCGAGGTGTGTGCGTGAGGGTCACCTCAAGGGCTATTTGGATCCAGTGACAGTGTGACCCCCACAGGGGCCTGGGCAGGGTGGCACCATCCCCCAGGGGCTCAGGGTCACACAGAGGGCGGGGCACCTCCATCCTCAACCTGCCTAGGCAGGGCAGCACCCTGTGAGTCCCTCCCGGAGGCTGGGGAGGGGAGGGGCGGGCGCTCTGACCTGGGACAGAGACCCGGGGCTCTGGGGCGACTGGGTGTGCGGCGCCCGGTGGGTGGAGGGCTCGGCCCCTTATGCTGAGCCGTCACCTGCAAGAACTCAGGCTTCCTCCGAGGTGCCTTGCTGCAGAGCAGGTAGAGGCTCACAGTTCACATCCAGCTCCCTCGGGCTGACCTTGACCCCTCACCCAGGTCACGTCCCTCTCTTGACTGACTTTGGCCTCTCCCCCCCTCCCCCTAGACTTCGACCCTCACCACTTCTGGCACTGGAGCAGCTTTGCCGACTACCTGCAGTGCGTGCTGGCCTTCGTGGGCGTCGCCGGCTACGTCACGTACCTGTCCATCGACTCGGCGCTGTTTGTGGAGACCCTGGGCTTCCTGGCTGTGCTGACGGAGGCCATGCTGGGCGTGCCGCAGCTGTACCGCAACCACCGCCACCGGTCCACGGAGGGCATGAGGTGGGTGGGCACACGGCGCGGCAGCTATCGTCGGCAGCAGGTGCACGCACACTTGGTGAAAGTCCAATGGGCACAGAGCCGGCTGCTTCACTTTCAGTCACATCTGTCAAACAGCCAGTTGGAGAGCAGTGCAGGTGTGAGCACATCGGTCCACCGACCTTGCGACGTGTGAGCCTTGTGTGTGTGAGAGACAGGTGGGGAGAGGCTGACACACTTTCTGGAGCAGGTGACAGGTCTTTTGATTGGGAGAGCTGCCCTTCTGGGCCGTGGAGCCTGAGGTGTCGCAGTGAAGGGAGCGGGCTGTGCCCACAGCAGCAGGGGCACAGCCCCAGGCCCCGTGTGACCAGGCCCCCCCTCAGGACATGACCCAGGACGTGTGGGACTGCATCCGCACTGAAGTGAGCACCTGCAATCTGTGTTGCATCTGAAATGACGTTTCCATTGCTTGCTAGTGCACAGAAGCACGGTGCCCTGTGTGTGGGTCTCCTAGCGAGGCTCCAGTGTGCCCTGGGGGAGGAAGAGTCTGTCCTCCAGGCAGCTGGAGTCTGCATCACCCACGGTTTTAGCTGACCCTTTGTCTTTGTGTGGACACTTGTCTGCAGCGCAGGCACAGGCATCTGCAGCTGCCTCGCAGGCTGGCCCTTTAGTCTTCCTCTTACTGATTTTTGTATCGATAGGCATGTTATTCTTTTAACTATGTTCCTCTGCTTTTTTCCTTTCCTCCTTCTGCTTCTTCCTCTTCTTCAAGGAGGCCCTTTAACATTTCTTGTAAGACTGGTTTGGTGGTCACAGACTCCTCTGGCTTTTTCTTATCTGGGAAACTCCTTACTGTTTGACCAGAATGCCCATGACCTCCAGATGTGCCCTTGCCCAGGTGCCCAGATGTTTTACTTTGGTGTCTCAGCTGCTTGACCAAAGGCCCTGAGGGCAGGGTTGTGTCCTGTGCCACGGTCTCCCTATCACCTGACACAGTGTTTGGAAGATTATAGCAGCTCGGAAAACATTTATTGAATGAACGAAGGAAGAAATGCAGTACTTGGTTTTCTAAACCACCTACATCGCCTTTGGAAGCTAGGAGAACAGCTGGGGATATTCATGAATGTGGAGGGTCACCCAGTGCAGGTGCCTGGCTGATCATCCTAATTCTTTTTTTTTTTTTGGGGGGGGGGGATTTTATTTATCTATATTTAGAGAGAGGGGAAGGAAGGGAGAGAGGAAGAGAAACATTCATGTGTGGTTGCCTCTTGCACGCCCCCTACTGGGGACCTGGCCCACAACCCAGGCACTTGCCCTGGCAGGAAATTGAACTGGTGACCCTTTGGTTCATAGATTGGCACTCAGTCCACTCAGCCACACCAGCCAGGGAGATCGCCCTAATTCTTGAAGACCTGGTAGCAGGGGAAGCACTGAAAAGAGATGCGGCCCAGGTGGGCCCACCGAAGCCTGGGGTGGGCTGGCACGTCCCCAGTCTGCTTGCAGTCCACCCAGTTCTCTGAGGCCTGTGGCTGTGACCGGTTTGTGGGGAAGGCCAGTGTTCGGCTCTGAGAAGAGGAAGGCCGCAGTCATGCTCAGGCCGGGGGACCTGGAACGTCCCCTGGAATCCTGACTTCAGGGTGTAAAGGATTGGCGTGGCCCTTGGCCACTGCGGCCCCAGGCCCTGTCCCCCAAAGGCTCCTCCACACGCCCTGCTCACCTTCTTGGGGGGGGGGCACTTTACAGAAGGCCCAGGTGAGCAGGAGACCCTGGTTACCTTGATGAGGCTTGGCCGGTGCGGTGAGAGGCACGAGTCTGTGCAAGGACCTGGGATGGGGGCTTGCACAGAAGGCCCGTGGTCAACAGGTCCTGTGCCACAAAGTGGGGGCTGGCCTGTCAGGGATGGAGCCACCAAGTCCGTCAGGTGCAGGGCAGGGCCTGTCGAGACCCACATCACCTCACTGGGACACTCACTTAAAAACAGCTCACCACCAGTGGAGGGGGGCGACTCAGTTAGGTGCTTGTTCAATGTGGCTGCCATACTAAATGAGCCACAGGACGCCTGCCTGGCAGAGTCCCCACTTGAAGGGCTTGGCCTGGGCTCGTGCGGCGTGTCTGCAGGGCCAGGCCATGGGGACCCCAGGGCCTTAAGTGCTTGGCCTGTGGCCCTGCCCTCTGTCCGAGTGGGGCCCGGCAGTCCCGCCCCTGGCCTGGGCTCAGGGAGAGGTGAGGTGGAGGAGGAAGTGGAGGGAGCAGTTTGCCGGGCCTCGGAGGGTCACGGGTTTTCTATTATGGGCGGGCACCGTCCTGTTTCCTTCCTGGACACTGCGTGTGCCACAGTCAACATGGGAAGGTGTCCTCTCCCTGTGTCTGTTCAGAAGGAAACATCCTCTTTCTCCAGTGAGCCCAGAGCCCAGACTGGACCTGGGTTTGGAGGGCAGCGCCTGGTGGAGCCCAGGCACAGCGTGGTCTCCTCCGAAAAAAAAAGGTGTTCATTTCAAAGATGTTCGTGTGAGAGAAACTTTCAAGGCATTTCCATCCAGTGTGGGACTAAATTTTGCACACATGTGCACACAAGCCAGCCCAGCTTTGCCTGATGAGGGGGACGGTGGTTTGGCCGTCTCCACTGGCTTCTCCAGCCGAGCTCGCCCCGCCCAGCCCCTCGCCGCCTCCCCTCCCGAGCAGGCGGCCAGGTCTCCCCTCAGGTGTCTGCCCCAACCCGCCTTCGACTACCGCAGCGCCTGCCACTGCCTAATGCTACTCCACCCGTGCTGTCATTCTGTCTCCCTCCCCGGGGGCCTCTGCTCTCTTGCACAGCCAGGTCCCCAGCAGCCAGGACGGCTTGGCAGTCGGAGGCCAGGGAACCGCACTGCCTGATCCCAGAGTGAGAAATGAGCGTGCCCGTGTGTCTGGCAGAGTGTGTGTGTTTCCACACGTCCCTTTCACCGCGACGTGTGGACAGTGTGCATGCGACGCAGGCACCTACACCTGTGGGCAGACACACCGACGGGAGGTCACACGTACCTGAACGCAGGCAGCGCGGAGGACTCTCTCCTTCTCCCGGGGAACCACCAGCACCTGAGCCGCGCATGCGCCCTCCCAGCCCGGGATGCCGGCCCGAGCTGCTCTGCGCGGGGCCGCGTCGGGTGGGCGGGGCCCCGGGCCGCGTCCCGAGGCTGCACCTGGCAGGCCTGCTCCTCACGCGCACGTGTGTGCCTCCGCACACATCGCCCCCGTGCACTCCAGTGCTCACTAATGTGCACACACACCCACACTTGGGCACACGCACACATGCTTTTTTCTGCTTTGGAGCAACTGCCAGAGATATTTTAAATGATTTTCCTTTAAAAAGTGTTAAGTGATTGTTGCTTCTGAACCAGTAAAGCAGTGATGAAGTTTTGGGAGTAACTTTACTAATTATAATTAACACAGGAAGCTCTGAAAGGCAGATTCCCTAGGACGCTTTGCCGCCTCTTTTCTCCAGGTTTTGTAGATTTAAGACTGTTTCCCGGCACGTAATTACAGGAGAGCCCGGGGCGGTGAGCCGGCAGAGGGGGCGGAAGCTTCGGACGCACTTGGGGAGGGTGTCCCAGATGCGCTGGGACTGCGGGAGAGCAGGCCTCGGCCGTCAAGACGGGAGTGGTGGGCGCCCACGGCAGGCCCGGGGAGGCGGTGACGGGGGGAGGGAGGCTGCCCCCTGTGGTGTGTGTGGCACGTGTCCCAGCCGCTGTGGGATGTGGTCGGGGTGCAGGCCCCGGCTGTGGCGGTGGTGGGTAGAATTCGAACCCCGCTCCCAGGGCCGCCTTGCCCCTCCCAGCCAGACACTCGGAGGTCACGCCCGATGGTGCAGCCTGAAACTGTCTCACCTGGTCCCTCTCAGCATCACCCTGACCCCTGGAGGCAGTAGCTCGGGTATCGGCTGCTCGGGAGGCAGGACAGGTCTCCCCGCCCTGGCCACCTCGCAGCTGCGCTCCCAGGGCCCGTCTTTGTGCCTTTTTGACACAATACAGGCCAGGGAACGGTGAGTGGGGTGCGCTATGCACCTGTGTGGTTACACGCATGTGCGTGCGTGTGCACACACTCACCACACACACACACACCCGTCGGTCAGCAGCCCGACAAAGAGGGGGCTGGAACTCCGAAAAGTGCTTTTACTGAGGCCCCACCCATCACACACTCACCCGCTGAAGTGTGTGGTTGGATGGATTTCACTGTTTTCAGAGTTGCGCACCCACCACCGCAGTCTGATTTAGGACATTTCCATCGTCCCGAAAGGAAATCGACACCCTCAAGGACCACGCCTCCTGTTCCCCCAAACCCTCCCCTGGCCGGGCCCCACAGGTCCGAGTGCTGCCTGTGTGGGTCTGTCTGCCCCCGCAGGGGGGGCTTTCCTGGCTGTAGGACAGGCTGTGGGTGAGGTGAGAGGTATTTTGGGAACAGTGATCTGGCAGCCCAGTGGGGAGGCAAAGTGGAGCCAAGAATGAGGTCACTGGGGTCAGGTTTAAAATGGTGGGCGGGGTTGGGGGAGAGTCAGGTGCGGGATACAGCAACTGGAGCTGGGGGCCAAGGGAGGGGTGTTAGAAAAGGGAGCCCAGCTCCCAGGCACCAGCCTGGGCTGGGGGAGTGAAGCCTGGGCCCTGGGAGGTGACAGTGTCCCCTTCCCCTCAAACTGCCCACCTGCAAGGTTCTCTTTGCTTGGGGTGGGCTTCCGGGATGGGCTTCGGGCCCTGTCGGAGCCTGTGCTGCCTGAGCTTCCCCGGAGGGCAGGACTCCTGCCACCGGGACGAGGCCAGACCTGGCTGCTCTGCACTTTGTGTTTGCTTGGACATCCTGGCGTGCTGCATGGTGGGAGGGCAGGGGCTTCGGAACAACCTTGTCAGGAGGGGCGGAGCCCCTGGCTTGCTGCGAGACCCCCTTCTCGCTCTCTGACTGCTTGCTGGGCCCCGCCCTCCCTGAGCCCTCACAGAGGCGGCTGCGTTCCTGTCCCCATGCAGTGGCCAAGGGCCCAGGCCAGGTGAGGCATCTGGGCAGCTAAAAATGTCCCTGAGTGTCAGGCAGAGCCCAGCTCCAGTGATGACCTTGAGTCTTCACTGGCGGGGGGGACGAGTGCACCTGTGCATTCCAGGCCGAGAGGCCCCACCTGGCCACAGCACAGCGACAGGTGGCCCCGGCCCCCCTGCCCCACTTTCGGCTGTGCAGCCTCTGTCCTCCTGCGCCCTGGGCAGCACCTGCTATGTTCCCTGGGGTGTGTTGCTTAACCAGCCTGTGCCTCAGTTTCCTCTCCATGAGGCAGGAGCCACGCAGCTCACCCCATCGTGTTTCAGGGCAGCAGGCGGCAGGCATGTGTGAGGGCGCTGCCTTCTTCACAGCTTTCTCGATTCTTCGTGTCGGGCAAACCAGACCCTGAAGCTGCACCTGTCAGCTCCAGCACAGGTCACGGCATGTCCCCTTTATGGCCCCTGACTGTCTGACCAGGGCTGCGACCCAGGCGCTTGGGACCCGAGAGTCCAGCACCTGCTTCTGTTCCTGTTGGTGGAATGCGCTCCCCTGCCCCTCCCCAGGGGGCCCCAGCAGCCAAGTGGCCCCACTGTCCCTGGGCTCCCCAGGGAGACTGACGTGTGACTGATGTGTGAGCCCAACCTTAGGAAGGAGTCACGAGCCAGCGCGGGCTGCAGACCCCAAGGGAGAGAGAGAACCCGGGTGTGTCTTCGCGTTGGCGTTTCCGCAACCAACTGCCCAGGGAACACTGTGTGGCTGGTGCGGGCGGCCCACCCGCAGGTTGCGAAGTGTGTCCAGCCAAGTGTCTGGGTAGTTGGGAGGGGGCGTTTCCAGGGAGGAGAGCCCCGTGATGGAGGCTGGAGGTGGGGACTGGGTGTCTCGCCCCCGCTCTCCACTCTGATTCACTGGACACGGCAGGTGGGAAGGGCGGGCGCTGCGTAGGCTACTCCTAGGGTGTCTGATGCGGCTCTGGGGTCATTCCAGGCACTTCTGCTGCTTCTGTGGCCCTGGTGCAGGTGGGAGGCTCTGTGGGCCGGAGGAGAGGGGCGTGGGGTGGGAGGGCCCCTGCCTCCGGGCTAGGCTCGTCCTGAAGCCCAGGGGGCATAATCAGGCCGCAGCCAGCACCCTGTGGCCAGGCCACTGTCGAGAGGTGACAGTTCCCAGGCGCTGCTGCCCCCAGAGCTGGCGGAGGCCCTCCCTCCCGGCCCCCCAAGGAGCCCACACCCAGTGCCACTGCAAGGGGGTGGGTCTGCCCCACACGGGCCCGGCCTCTGCCCCAGAGTCTGAGGGTCCCCCCAGATGAGGGGCCTTCCTGTCCCTGGTGCTGCCAGGCGGTGACCGCACTGCGAGGATGGGAGGGTGGGAGGGAGGGGCCGGCTTGGCTGCCCCCTGACCCCGGCCTGTGTCTCCGCAGCATCAAGATGGTGCTCATGTGGACGAGTGGCGACACCTTCAAGACGGCGTACTTCCTGCTGACCGGCGCCCCGCTGCAGTTCTCCGTGTGCGGCCTGCTGCAGGTGCTGGTGGACCTGGCCATCCTCGCACAGGCCTACGCCTTCGCCCGCCACCCCTTGAGGCCCAGCCCTCACGCAGCGCACCCCACCAGTGCCAAGGCCCTCTGAGGCGGCTGGGAGAAGGAGGACGTGTGACTGCTGGCCGCAGGCACTGGCAGGTCCCCTGTCCTCCTGCGTGGGCTCCCGGGCCGGTGGGCGGGCTCACTCGCTGGAGGGCGGCACGGCAGGCGTCACCCCCATGGGGACGGCAGTCGTTTCCAGGTGATGGAAGAGCAGGCTGTGTGCCCACTTGTTCTCAGAGCTCCGGGGGACCTGGGGAGCTGCCCACAGGCTGGGAAACAGAGGAGCAGGAAGGACAGGCCATCGGGAGGCCCGGCAGGTGGCCACAGCCAGAAGTGACCTGACACCCCGGCCCGGCCCTAGGCACAGAGTGGGGACAGCACCGGGAGAGCTCAGGCCCCGGCACGCAGGGCCCTCGGTTAGAGCCGCTGGGGAAGGACATGCTGCTGGACAGCGTGTGGCAAGGGGCTCAGGGTGGGGTGAGCCCGGCACAGAGCGCGTGGCCCAGGTGCCGTGGTCATAAGAAAGGGGAGCCACAGTGATGCATGTGACATATGTCTCAGTGTCACTGGCTGGGTGGCCTTGCCTGGGCCACCTTCAGCACCACTGCCTCACAGGACTTGGGACCCAGCCCTTGCCCTCGGCTCAGCTCGGCCCTGGAGGCCTTGTCGCTGCGCCGGCCTCCTCCCACAGCGGGCGAGGGGACCGCCCGTGTCTGTGCCAGCCAGGCGCTGGCCAGAGCAAGCTCAGGGGCGTTTGACCCAGAGCCCAGAGCTCCACACAAGGCCTCGGCTGCACGGGTAGCGTTTCCCCTCTTTCCCGGGAAGTACGCGCATCTCAGCACATAGCCTGTGACGCCCGTCTGCCGGCACGGTGACGTGATGCGCAGCTTTGCACCCCACACAAGCTGGAAGGTCTGAGCTCCAGGGCCTGGACTGACCTTCCGGGGCAGTAGGGTGGCCCGGCGCGGGCGTCCCTGCCCACCCTCTCCTGTCTGCACGGCTCTCTGTGTCCGCTGCACGTGGTGGTGATGAGGCCGCTGGTCTGACGCCTGTCCCTCACAGCTGTCCGCCTTCCAGTCATCCACAGGCACCTCCGCTGGGCCTGCCCTGGGCCAGCTCGCAGGCCCCCAGATGCCACGTGTTCCAGAGGCTTCCGTGTGGCTCCCACAGGCAGCACTTCCCCTTCTGCCGGGTGGAGGGGGCCCTCCGTGCCTGCGCTGCCCGAGGCGACGGTGCTCGAGGTGCCCGTGGCGGCCGGTGGGAAGCTCTCTTCACCTCCCGAGTCTCCCTCCACGGCTCCTCAGTGTTGGAGTGGGACTCCTGCTTAGTCCTCTGGCTCGTAAGACGCTTTGAGAACATTTATTTAAAAATAATGAAAGGAGATGTCTGTAGCAGTAATTGCCTCCAAATAAAAGCATCACTGATTATGGCGGTGACCGAAGTGCCCGAGGTTCTGTCAGTACGGTGACTCTAAATGGATACAGGTGCGAGGACGCAGGTGGCTGAGTGAATGGAGTCCGAGGGGTGCCCAGGGCCCAGGAATGGTCAGTCCTGCCTTCTCATTTCATGACGAGGGTCTCCAGGGAAGGGCCAGCCCCCCCCACAGGCCTCTGCCCAGAAGCGTCCACATCCCCTGGGCTAGACTGACACCCCTCCTGGGGCCCTGCTCTGGCCCCTGTCCTGTGAGACAGGCCCCCCTGGGACAGACCAGCTCCAAGCACAGTGACTCGGAGGAACCAGGGTGGACACCTGACCAGGCAGTTGGGCGGGCCCGCCTGTGCACACAGGCAGGGCGACAGGTGTCAGGCCAGGTGCCCCCTCCCCCACCCTGGATGGTCCCATCTCCCCGCCAGACGTGAGCACCCTGGAAGGTGGAGGATGGGCCTTGCCTCCAATGGTTGAGGACCCTCAGCTCCGTCTGACCCCTGCAGTTTCTCGGTCGCTGATAAGACCAAGGTGTTTGTTTCCTGGGCCCCTGTCCACCTGACACTGACCAAGACTCAGTGGGTGGGGCCCGGGCATTCCCATGCCGGCTGACCTGTGGCTGGGAGTGAGGAGGAAGACAACGGGGAAACCCATGGTCCTCTTGGTGGCCCAGCTGGCCTGTCCCGGCAGAGCCCGACTGAGCCCGACTGAGAACAGGTGTGCCAGCCGCCCCCATGCTGGCCGGTCCCCTGAGGCACTCAGCCCCATTTGGGGGGGGCAGTGAGAGGCTGGGGGTACTTGGAACGGGAGGGCCACCTGGGTTCTGCATGCAGCAGGTGCCCAGGTAGAGGGCCCCACACTCTGTATGGCCAGACTCCCTGTGAGCAGATGAGCCCCTTCCTGACCCCCGAGCCCCCGAGCCCTGAGGCGGTGCCGGTGTTGCCCCAGAGGACCAGCAGGAACATTCTACAGGGGGCCGCTCCCTGGCCTGCCGCCCCCTCCCCAGCTCAGGCCCCCACCTGGGGCCCTGCCAAAAGGCAGGAGGGGCGGTGGTGGGCAGGTGCCCTGCTTCTGTGGGCCTCTGAGTGGTGCAGGACCGCCTGCAGCTGGGTCTTTGGCAGAAGTCACGGCTCAGCTCAATGATTGGCAGGTTCCATTCCCCCCCCAAAGGAGAAAAGGCTCCCACCTCAGTGACAACAGGCCTCTGGCAGCCGAAGGCCCAGGGCCCCTTCCCCCATCTCCTCTCTGAACCCCCTCCAGGCCTAGAGCTCCAGGGAAGTGTCCCTACAGGAGACGAGGGTCCCAGAGGGTAGGATGCAGCCCCCCGGCAGCTGAAAGGGTGCTGCGTTTCAGGGGACACCTGTGAGGAGGTGACCCAGGGAGCTCCCTGTAGGACAGGGCCAGTGGAGGAGGTCAGAGGTCAGGGCTGCACCCCCAAAGGAACTGGGGGGCTGCGAGCATGGATGTGACACCTCTGTGCCTGCCGCTTGGCAGGGGGTGGACCTTCTGCAGAGTTGGGTGCCCGGGGAAGGCCTTCCTCCTGTGGGGCAGAGCCTGCCCGGGTGACACGGCAGGAGGGACTGTCCCCTTCCCCTGGGAACTGCCCCCCAGACTGCTCCTCCAGGGCTGCGCGCCAGTGCACCCCCCCCTCTGCTCCAACAACCTCCAGGCCGAAGAGCAGGGAAGAGCCAGGCCACGGCCTGGGGCAGTGTGGCCTTCTGGTGTCTCTACAGGCTGGGACGTCCTGGGACTTATCCGCCAAGGAGCCAGAGCTTCCAAGGGAGATGAGGAAGGGCAGGCTGGGTGCCGTCTCCAGAACCTGCTCAAAGCTCAGGACAGCTTTCGACACCACCTCCAGGAAGGCACCAGCCTAACCCTAGTTCTGCCGCCCTGCTCCTCACAGCATGCACATGGGCTGGACATGGCCAACTAGAGGCCGGCCCCTTGGGCGCTAGGAGCTGCTGCACCCAAGGGCAGTCCCTGTCCCTCTGCGTGGTGGGAGGCAAGGACCGCGGTTCTGTTTCTAGCTGGAGAGGAGCAGCCTCCGGTGATGGCCACTGACTGCCAGCCACGGCCACCTCTGGGTTAGGAAGGGTCCCCACCTGGTTCAGGCCGGCCCTGAGCGTGCCCACTCGCTGTCCGCTGAGTCCCCGGCCTCGCAGGTGCCATCGGGACCCTGTGAACTGTCCTCGGTGGCGCAAGCAGAGCGCGTGCTGTCCTCGCGCAGGGATGGCTCAGGGCTGGCGGCCCGCTGCTGCTGCTCCTTGAGTTCGGAGTAAGAGCGCGAGAAGGTGTGGAAGATGGAGGTGACGGGGAAGGCCATGAGCAGGATGCCGCTGAGGATGCTGCTCAGCGCCACCACCTGCCCGGGCACGCTGCGCGGCACCATGTCCCCGTAGCCCACGGTGGTCATGGAGATGACGGCCCACCAGTAGCTGGCCGGCACGCTGGAGAAGTCGCGGCCCGCGCCCAGCTCGCGCTCAGCCAGGTGCACGAGCGGCGCGAATAGGGCCATGGCCACGCAGAGGAAGAGGAGCAGCAGCCCAAACTCACGCGCACAGCGACGAACTGTCAGGCCCAGGGAGCGCAGCCCAAGGGAGTGGCGCGCCAGGCGCATTACGTAGAGCACGCGCAGCGCACGCAGCAGCCGCAGCACCAGCCCCGCCCGCTCCAGTAGCTTGTTGCCACCCGCGCCCGTGCCTGTCCGCGCCGCGCCGCCTGCTGCCAGGCCCACCAGCAGTGACACGTAGAAGGGTAGGATGGCCAGGATGTCGATGATGTTGAGCGGCGTCCGCAGGAAGGCACACTTGCTCTCGGCCTGCAGTGAGCGCAGCAGGAACTCGAAGGAGAACCAGGCCACGCACACCGTCTCCAGCACGAAGAGGTTGCGGCACTTGCGGGAGCACTCACCCTGGGGAGGAGAGGGACACGTGTTGGGAGCTGGGAGGTCCACGCCCTTGCTTCCCCAGGGTGGAGGAGGTCACACTGGGGTTGGGGGGCCCTGACTCTCCACCCCAGCCCATGTAAGCATGACGCTGCAGGAGCTCCCGGGATATCCACAAAAATGCCCGATTCCTGTAAAAAAGATCCATTTGGAGATGAGGTTTCCACAGGAGCTCAGCTGACCTGTTCCCCGGCAAATATGAAAAGCATTTAAAAAACAGCCAGAGGTTCTGGAAATGGTCCTGAGGGTGAGCAGCAAATATAACATCCATTCAAGACCATCTATGAAAATTTGTGAAGGCAGGCGGGGGTCTGCTGTGGGACTGTAGCCAAGGGGCCCCCAGGAGAGAGGCTTCAGCAGCCAGGGCTGCCCCAGCTGCATGCCGCCAGGCCGGACCCAGGCCACAGGGTGGAGACGAGCCGCTCAGCTGAGGCTGGGTGCTCTGAGTCGAGGGCCCTCCTTGAGCTGGAGGTGAGACCACTGGGGGCCCCACAGGGGCCACATGGCCTCCTGTGCCTTGCAAGGCCCTGAACCTAGCTCGGGTCCCTCTGGGCACTGAGAACAGATCGTCACACCTGACCAGCTGCCCGAGCCCTCTCAGCTGGTGATCCGTGGGGACGGGGGGACAGCAGTGACCTTCTGCCACCCAGAGACAGTAGCTCAAGGCCCACCTGACACCTCAAATGGAGATCAGGTCAGGGGTCCGCAGTCAGCTTTTCAACACCTTGAAACTCGAGCACACAGGGCTGCTCCCCAAGTCCTGTCTCGTCTCTTAATGCCAGGCACGACGTACATCACTGGTCTGCCAGGAATCGGGCAAACAGGGCCCCTGCAAACTCCTGAGGACCAGTGCTCAGGGCTGGGTCACGTGTGCGTGGAGCGGAGTTCCCCGTTACTGAGTTGTTGGAGCCCCACACCGCGCCACTACGCTGGTCATGGTCCCCTGGGTGGGCTTGGAAACCCTGGCCACGGACTGGCTTCCCCAAGGGGCTCCTGGACATGAGAGGTGCCCTGGGCTTCTGACCCCCAGCACTGCTCCAGACCCTCCTGGGCCAGAGGCTGGCAGCCCCTGTGGGAGGTGGGCTGGACCTCCCGCCCCACAGCCAGCATCGCTCCTGAACAAGAGCCCCACTGGGCTGGGGCTGTCGGTTGCCTTTGAGCTCAGCCTGGGAGGTGGCCTGGCGGAAGGGTCTCTGCGGCTGTGGCCATGGGGACCGGCACCCCCTGGACCTGTGCCTGTGCCCACACCCAGTGGAGCTCACTGCTTGTTGCTTCTAGGTTTCAGGCAGGTTTTGTTCCAGCAATTTCTGATGCCTGTTCATTGCCTGAGGGCAGTGAAGTCTCGTCAATATTCAGGGCTGCCTGGGCCAGTGGCAACACTGAGTCTGGTCCTGGGCCTCATGGGGCAGCGGGTGGGGGCTCTGAGCCCCCATGTTGGGCCTGGGGGACACCAGTAGGGGTCTGACTTGGCCATGCCCCATGTCCAGCTGGGTTTAAGCTCTCAGAGGTTAGAGGGTGTCTCAGGACAGAGCAGGAGGGCCTTTCTGCTGGACCAAGCCTGTCACTGGATTTGGGGGGAACCCCGGTCCACGAGTTTTCAGTCAAGACACAGCTGGGGCCTGTGGTGACTGGGACAGAGCTGGTCAGAAACCTATGCTCCACCCCAAGGAAGGGAGGGGGAGGGGAGCCCACACAGGAGATGGGTAGAGGTCAGGCACGACACCAGGTCAAGGCAGTGGTACATCCACCGGGCCTCCGCCTGAGCAGAAGGAGCCTGATGACCTCAGCCCAGGAAGTGTGGTGGTGCCGTGACCCGTGACCCACAGCCCCGGACACCCCCCCGCCCTGCAATGCCCCCCGTCTGGCCCCCATGTCCTGGCACAGGCACCCGGCCAGGTGTGGCGTGAGCCCCCATGGGGGCGTTGTGACCACCGTGTTTGGGGGAAGGATGCTGCAGTCCCTGAGCCCCTGTGGGGGCTGGTCCAGGAAGGACCCCTGCCCTTGAAGGAGGACCTGCCCCGGCGCCGACCTGCGGCCAGATCCACCCTGGTGGATTCTGGAGGAGACAGGCCTGTGGGAGCCCCGACACCCCTCCCCCACCTCTCCTTAAGGACCAGCTGTGCAGGTCAATTGTAGGGAAGCTATTTCTGGAACTTTTAACCCAGAAAACAGACCTTGATTTATCAGAGTTTGACACATCTGGCCTATTTGGCCAAAATTGGGTCAGAAATAAATCTCCCTTCAGCTGGCTCACCAGGTTTTGACGCCCTGCTCCCCCGACTAGACAAGTCTGGCTTTTGCTTGTGTTTCGAAGATGTCCACGGTTTTCGTGAATCCGGCCTCCGGCCAGGTGCCTGTATGTGTTCATCAAGGCCTGTGCACCAGGTGCGGCTGCCCCCGTGGCCCCGCCCAGCCCAGCTGGGCGCCTCTGAAACTCCGCCTGCTTGCCAGCTGTGCGGCACCAGCTCTGCTCCCAGGCTCCCATCAGACTGACCACCAGGGTGGACAGAGCATCCTGCTGATGGCTGCCCAGCTGGCTGCTCCTGGGGGCCAGAGGGTTCCAGTTCCTTTTCAAATGTGTTTTCTTTCCAGGATTGGAACTGGGCCTCCTCCAGTGACTTGTGGCTCAAGAACCAAAGCCAGCTGCCTCCAAGGAAGCAACTCGAGGACAGGTGAACTTTGAGCTAATTACAGATATACTTATGGCCGTGGGGAGGAATGTGCATGTGTACCTATGCGGGCGGCGTCATCCGCTACCACCAAACCCAAGCAAACACAAGATGGCTCGGAATGTTCCAGGCCCCCCAGCTGCGGGATCCAGCTGCAGGTGGGCTGGAGGGGCCAGCAGAGCCCCGGGAGGGGCCATCCACGGCACAGGCTGGCCAGGGATGGTGACAGCGGTCCAAGCTAGCTTTTGGAAAAGCAGCATTTTGGAAACCACTGCTGGGAGGCACGGCCTCCCCACATGGTGCCCAATTGGCACTGTTTTTATTTTCTAGTGAAAATAAGTGAAAGCTCAGGGCCGAGTCTTGTCAGGAACAGAGGCCTTGGGGCAGTCAGTGGTGGACTCTTGGGAGAGGCCTGGCCCTGGTGCACGCCCAGCCGGCCTTGTTCTCATTTCAGAGCATCACAAATTCAGTGGCGTGAGCCCTGCCAAGCACATGGCTGGTTCCAGTAAAGCAGGAGGTGGAGGCAGCCAGCGGGGAGTCCTCTCCGTAGGCCAATGATCGGGGAAAGCTGCAGCCGAGCCCCTGCCGCAGCCGGGCTGCAGGTCCTGGCTGAGGTTCATCCAGGACCTTGAGGCTCCCGGGCTCTCCTGTTCTCTGTCCCCAAAGTGTCCAACATCCCTTTGCTGCCTGCATTTTCTGGACACTGAGGCCCTTGTCTCCATCAGTCCGCCACGGGCGCTGTGCAGCCGGCCAAACAGACCAGTGGGTGACGGCCCACAGGAGCCGTGCAGACAGAGCCTGCAGACAGCGCTGGGCTTGTGGGCTTGACGGCCCTCCCCGACTGTGTGCTGAGGGGCGTTTAGCCTCCCCGAGTGCCCAGAGGAAAATACTCCACTCATTTCACTATGAATTTATAGTTTGACTTTTTTTTCTTCTGACAGCATCTTCCCCGGGCTTTGTGCCCTGACCCTGTGTCTGGGGCCACACGCTCCCCCCACGGACCCCTCCTGCCACCACAAGCTTCGCACAGCTGTGGGGGCGGTGCTGGCGCCTTAGTCACAGGAGTGTGCACACCGCGGCCTCCCTGTGCAGAAGGTCTGGGGGCTCAGGGCCCCTTTTGGAGCCATGTCATCAGAGATGCTGCTTTACCTCCTTGCCCACACTCTCCTGCTCCCTTGAAGTCCCCGGGCGGGGCCTGGGCAGTGGGCACTTTGCGAGCTGCCTGCCGGAGTGTGACTGGCTGTTCAGGGACAGCGGGATTCAGGCCTGGCACTGGACACTCGGGATCCACTGGGGAGGTAGCAGGGAGGGCCCTGCGGAGCCTGGGCTGAACCTTCTGGGCGTTCTGCCCGGCGGGGCTGCCCCTTCATCACCGAGCCACAGGGGCTGTGCTCAGACTCTGCGTCGGGAGCTGCCTGAGGCCCAAGGCCCCGGGAGGGAGCACGAGGGGGCAATGCTGCTGCTCCGAGAATCACCAAGACTTGGGAACAGCCGAGACGTTGCTTGAAGGCCCTTCCGGACAGTGCAGATCTGATTCACCATAAACAGAAATGGCTGTCCAGCCACGAAAAGTCCTGGAGGGACCTGACGTGCACTCTTCTCAGTGACAGAGTCAGTCTGCAAAGGCTACGTCCTGTGTTACGTTCCAAGAATATGACCTTCTGGAAAAGGCCGAACTGTGGGGACAGGAGGCAGACTGGTGTGTACAGGGCTGGGGGCAGACAGGAGGCACGTCCGTGGGACACCATGGTGGCGGGCGCCGACATTTCCCACAGGCTGGCCCCCAGCAGCGACCCAGCAGTCGGCCATAGATGGGGGTGACGGTGACACCTCGGTGCAGGTCTGTCACTGCCCCACAGGTGCCTCCTGGAGGCTGCCATGCAGTGCGGGCCAGCTGTGCAGAAGGCAGGTCCCCCGTCTGTCTCGTGAGCATGGAGCAGGGCGTGGGGGCACGGTGGCCCCTTGGGTGTCAGGGCAGCAGGCGCGTTCTGTGGCCGGGGGACGCGTTAGCAGCACAGGGACCCGGAAGGGAGCCTGAGGGACAGGCAGCAGGAACGGCTCCCTCACGTGTTGTGCGGCTGGGGGTGGCTCTCCAGGCCTGGGGGACATCCACGCCCTGGTCCCCTGACCTGTGGCTGTGTCACCTCCCTGGCAGGAGGGCCCTGCAGGTGGAATGAAGGAAAGGACCCTGAGCCAGGGGGTCCTCAGCTACAGGGGCCCAGTGCAGTCAAGGTCCTCCTGTGAGGGAGGTCAGAAGGCCAGAGGCAGAATGGAGAAGGACCAGGGTGACATCCTGGAGGACAGAGGAGGGGCGTGGTGACAAGGGAAGGGTGCAGAGGACCCTCCCTGGAGCCTCTGCAGAAACCAGCCCACCAACACCAGCACCTCAGCTCCCAGCCCCGGACTCACATGGACAACCCTGGAGAGCCAAGCACAGGGAGGGTCGCCCTCCACACCACAGTCTGGAGTTGCCTGGGGTGGGCCCGCCTCAGGGTGGGCAGGGGCTCTTCCTAGGCAGCCCCTGGGTCCCGCCTGGGGCCCCCAGCGAGGGCCCTTGGCACCTGTGACTGGCTGCACACGCTGCTTTCCAGGACACGGAGTGGAGGGCGACAACGACGCACAGACATGGTTGCCCTGAGGGTTCCGTGACGGCGGCGGGCCGCCATTGGCTGAGGCAGCCCTGCTGCCTTCCGCCCCAGACCCTGGTCTAAGTGGCATTGGTTCCGCACACAGTGTGGTGTGCTTGCTGCTCCGACAACTGGAACACGGCGGGCGTCTCTTCAGCAGCAGAACCCGACACTCGGGCCTGGTTCTCACAGCCGGAAGGAGCCCGGGAGCAGAACGTGCAAACCCCAAAGGGTGCCAAGCCCAGCTCCTGCAGTTCACCTTCAAATTTTACCTGCAGCCAGGGTGGCCACGCTCGAGGCCAGGCCAGGTGACGGCTCGGGGTCCAGGGGCATGTGGCCCGTCCCTCCAGCCCCTCACTGCATGCTGCGGAAACTCACCGGATTACCAGATTACCGGGTGAGCTCTGCCACAACCCCCAGCACGGGGGCCCTGTCTGAGGGAGGGCGCCAGGCGGAGCCAGAGGCAGCTCCTGCAGTGGGATGGCCCCTCACCCTGCCCCCGCCTCCACCAGGAAGCACAGGGCCATGCTCCCAGGGCAATACTCAGCAACGTCCTTCAAGCCCTTGGAGCGCCCTCTTCTCGCTGGACAGCACAAACCCCACGCCTCCCTGGCCATGTTCTGGGCACATAGCTGCTGGCTCAAGAGGGACATTCCCTGGACAGTCCCGTGTTGGCATTCCCGCAGGACGGGGGGGGGGGGGGGATGGGAAGCCTACCCTGTGCTCAGAACAACGCCCCCTTCTGGACAAAGCCAGCACCTGGGTCAACTGAGGCACGCGCCTGGCTATCACGCCTTCAAAGAAGTGGAGGCCACACTGTCCGGGTGCAGGATGCACAAGTCTTCAAGACAGACACTAGGTGTTTCAGCCCTTGCTACCGAGCGTCCAGGGCCTGTGGCCGGAGGGTTCTGGGAGGGGCCTGGCTGAGCTGGACGTCACTATAATCCTAGCATCTCCTGTCAGCGCACGTCCCCGCAGCAACGGCAGTCTGCGGGGTGGGGGGCGCCAAGGGCATGTTAAGGAGCACACCAAGGGGGCCCAGCGCTTGTAGCTGCACCACCAGCGACAGAAGGTTTCTGAGACCCCACTCAGGGGGTGTTCCCTAAACCCGGCTGCCTCCAGGCCCGGGACCCAGACCCAGGGCCAGGCCTCCGCCGGCTGGCTGCACCCTGTGCCAGTCCCCCCCGGCCCGGCCCGGCCCGCGCTCACCCGCTCCTCCTCCGCGCGGATGTCTGGCATGGTGCTCAGGCAGAGGCCGACTGCTGTGACAGCCACGAAGGCCACGGACACAAAGGCGAAGAGCTTGCCGGCCAGCCCGGAGTGCGGGTTGTCCACCATGTCGCGCAGGCGCCGCCGGCCGCGCGCCAGCCGCCCGCGGGACCCCAGGGTGCAGCTGGGACTTCCGGGTGCAGTGCGCTCCGCGGGTCGCGACCCAGTGCGCGCCTCGGCAGCCTCCTCCTCCCGGCGGCGCAGGCGGCGCAGGCAGCAGCGCTCCAGCCGCGCTTCGTCGATGCCCCAGTAGGCCAGCTCATCGCGGAAGGCCAGGGCGCACGGGCCGCGCAGCAGCCGCAGCTTGTCGGCGCGCAGCAGTGCCACGATGGCACGGAAAGCGCACGGGCTGCGGTCGAAGAAGAACTCGTCGCGGTTCACGTCGTAGTCGTCACATACGCGCAGCAGCTCCTCGTGGCCGCGGCAGGTGCGCAGGCGCTCGAGGCGCGCAAGGGGACAGCGGGCCAACGCGGCCCAGGCCAGGCGCACCCTGCAGCCACCAACATTGATGATGACGTGCCGGGCACGGGCCCGGCCGCTGCCGCCTGGGGGCTCCGCAGGCCCGGGGAGCAGGGCCATGGCCCCATGCGCGGCGCTGTGGTCAGGAGGCTGGGCCTGGGAAACGAACAGAGAGTACGTTAGGCTGGGGGACTCCCTGGGCCCCGGGACCCAGCAGAACCAAGGACTGCCTTCTGCCTGCCCTCTCACCTTCCCTCCGGCACACCTCCCATCTGCAGGTGACCCAAATGAGGACCCCAGCCTTTCTCCTAGACCCTGGCTCAGTGGTGGTCTGCCTCGGTTTATCTCCTGCAGACTAGCTAACCAGGCGGGGAAGGAAGCCTGCCGTGCAGAGGTTGCCTCCGGAAATCTGGGCCGGGGCCAGACATTGGTCTGTTACCTGATGGTCACCCAGTAAAGGTCAAAGGGGAAGAGGGCGTTTTAACCCTAGGGGACTTTATCATCCTTGCCTGGGGACCAACGTCTGACACCTCCCGTTCCACGTCCCCTCGGGCCTACGTCCTAGACCATAGACCAGGCTGGCGACTCCTTTTGTAGCCGCATCACCTGGGGGCCCCCAGTTGTTTGCAGGTAGGAGTCTTCATCACAATAATCAGTGAGAAGCAGGGTAACCAGCAGAAGCTGGAACGCCTGCTGTCAAGGTCGAGTTCCCCAGAACCTACATCTGCGAGCACAAACGTGACTGACGTGCTACTTTTTAAGAGTCTAAGAGAGAGACTGACGACAGCACCACAGAAACAGTGGGCAAGGTGTCACCAAGTTCACGGGCAGGGAAGAGTGGCACCGAAACCTGTGAAACCAGGGGCAACCTCACTCGCAAGAGCAGAACTGAACATCTCAGATCCCCCCACGCTATTGCTGATGAGAGCGCCGGGGTGCGAGATCCCCGAGAGACGCCCGGTTGAGGCAGAGGGTGGGCTGTGCCCCCGTGACAGGCAGGGCGGAGTCGGCACGAGCCCTGCAGGAAGCGGGACCCCGTTGGGCTGCATGCTCAGGGCCAGGGGTCCAGGGGAAACTTGGCTGCGGGTGTGGAAAGGCTGTGAGATTTCCCTGCCTGCGCCCAGGTGAGACAGAGTGTGTGTGCCTGCCGCCTAACTGCACGGTGGGTTTGAGGCGGGGAAGTTGGTCTGTGGAGCAGAGCTAAGAAAGGAGCCCCGAAAGAAGTGGTCTCCGGTGGGTGGCCTGCCTGAGGCGCGGGTCACCACCAGACACACACTCAGGGTCGGGCAGGGCTCCTCGACTGGGCGACTCTGCCCCAGGGGCGCCGGGCAGGGTCAGGACCGGGCATGAGAGGCACTGAGTGTGTATAAACCAAAGCACTGCCCAAACCTACAGGACAAAGGGCTGGGACCCAGCCCCACACGCCAACGGGGCCACTGTCGAGGGGGATACACCCTCCGTTTAAGCCTCGTGGGATGCTCTCCAATGAAGCCCCAGCCGAGACAACTTTACAAACCCAAATTATGAAACACTCAGGGCAACACCCCGCGTGGGCCAACGCCAGCAGACACACAAGTAACAGGATGAGGCTCCAGGGGCTTCAGAGAAAGAGTCAAAAGCAAAGATGTGACAGAAGGCGTTAAAAGTGAGGAGGAGAAATGGCCTCACGGAGAAGACGAGGAGGGTTCAGTGGGGGACGCAGCTCCCGGGAGTGAACAAACAGCCCGGAGATGAGGCTGCAAGTCACAGAGGGACGCGGCGCAGGCGGCGGCCTCGCTCAGGGGCACGCAGGAGCCAGCAGGACGCAGGCACCACACACCACGCGGAGGAGACAGCGACGTCGTTTGTTAACCAGGAATCCCAGGGGAAGAGGCAGCAGTCAGCCAAGAGGGGAAAGGTGTGGGGGTTCAGGGTCTCCAGTGTTAGGGGTGGTGCCGGACAGGTGGAAAATTCCACGCATGGTACATTAGGGGGACTGGGGAGCGTTAAGCCCTAAAATAAACTCATGCAGTGGAACCTGATAGTTTTAACCTGGAGGAAGCTCTTGTGCTTTTGTTCGGGGGGAAGACGGGCCTGAGTGCTGACTGCCCATGGCCGTCGGCCTGCCTGGCTGTCTGAGCTGTGCCATTCCCAGCCCAAGTCCCCAGGACACTTGGTACCTGGGGCCGGGACACACTTGGCGGTCACAGCAGAAAGCCTGGGTCTGCTCCTTTCCCAGGCAAATGTGCTCGGACGCCCGGAGAGGTGTCCTCCCCATCACCCCGCTGTCTCCATCCTGGAGTCCTGCCTGGCGGCCTCACCCCCGGTCCCTGGAGCTGTGAGCCCGCTGCCCACGCAAGCCTGCAAACGGCAGCAGCCCCTGGCAGGGAACCAGCGCCCGCAGCACCAGCAGGCTCCTCCAGAACAGAGAACACAAACTGAGGGAGGAGGCGCCAGCTGGGGGCAGCCCCGCCTGGGGGCTGCGGGGGCAGAGCTGGCAGAGAGTGAGTGAGCCTGTGTGGGCCTGTGTGAGTGTGAGTGGGTGTGTGTGAGCATATGTGAGCATGCGCAGGCAGGGCCTCCTCGGACCGGGGGAAGGGGAGAAAGGAGGAGAATGCACAGACCGGCAACGGGGTCCCGGGCCGGGAAGGCAGCCCACAGTGGAGGAAACCCTCTGTGGCTGAATCTCCCGTTCTGAGCTTGGGCTTAAGAACATGAACTGGAAGGGACTCCAGCAGACCATGGGATCTGGGGCTTCCAAAGACGTGGCAAATTCTTTTCTAGGAGAAATCTCTTTCCTTGGCAGAAATAGACAGTATCCATGAGGAAGTCATCTTTACAATGAGACCCTGCTTAGACTGGGAGCGGGAGTAACGCTGTCGGGTCTCCCTGTCCCCCACGTCCCCGTCCTCCGCAGTCACCTCTTCCCCACATGCCCCCATCTCTCACATCCTTCTGGCCCCCACATACCATGACCCCCAACCCCCCGGCCCCTAGACCCCCTGTGCACACACCAGTGGACTCCCAGCTGCTGGCAGGTCCTCCCTTTGCCCCCTTCTCCAGGGGGGGCCTTGCTTGTTGACTTGCTCTGCCCCCGCCCTGTCCCTTCCTTGTGTTGCCTCCTGGTTTTGCTGGGATGGTTCCCCAGATGAGCCGCTGGCCTTTGAGTCCCTGCCATGGGATCTTCTCAGGAGGAGCCTGAACTCAGACAGTCAGGAGGTGAGTTTGGAGGCCACGCATCCTGGAACTTCTCGGAAACAGGAAGGAAGCGTGTGACAGAGAATGTCCGGCCTCACTCACTCACTCAGTCACTCACTCAGTCACTAACTCGTTCACTCATTCATTCACCCAACTAACAATTTTCAAGGCCTCCTGGGCATCATGCCACTCAGAATAGAACTTCCTCTTCCTATAGTCGCGAAAAGGAACCTAACTACTCTATCTTGGGTCTTTCATAAGAATTAGAACTATTTTATGATATGTCTGTGTGCCCCAAAATGCCCAGTTTCTGCCCTGCCCATCGTTTTCTGTCCCCAGGCAATATGGGAGCTCATGTCACTTGACGTCCAAGCTGGGACACTCTGTGGAAGGAACAGGGGGCTGGTGACAGCGGCACCAGGAGACTGCAGTGTGTGGGCTGTCCCGCAACCAAGAGGGATGCCGCCTGATTCAGGGTCCCGTGGGTGCCATGCACCGGGGGGAGCAGAGGGACCGGGCAGGCCCTCTGGGGAGGGCCAGGGCCGTTGCCTCAGGCCCGTGGTGGCCTCACTTCTGTTTCCCACCCAGTCCTGAGACAGGTCGCTCCTGGAGGGAGGCCACACAGACCCCAGGCGTCCCCACTCCTCCGTCAGCCCAGCCACCAGAAATGAGGCTGAGAGAAGCAGAGGGTCCCTGGGGCCCATCCCAGCTGTCCAATGAGCAGTGTATGGCGGAGGTGGCAGATGGGGGGAGGCAGGGACAGCCGCGTCGGTGACCTGCTGAGAGAGGACTTTCCAGAGTCCACTGACCGGAAGGTGCGCACAGCCCCTGGGTGGCACGGCAAGACACTTGTAGGGACGCTCACCGGGAGCACAGACAGGACACTAGAGAGTGAGGCCGAGACCGTCCACACCCCGAGCCCTGGCAACCACCTGAGGCTGTGAAGGCTGGCGGTGAAGGAGGCTGACGGGAAATGCATGCACTTGAAACGTGGCATTGGAGGAGAGCCCCTGGGTCACCAGAAAGACGGACAAGTCCGGCGAGAGAAAGACGAGGGCGAGACAGCCCTGGAAGCACGGGCCACACAAGTCTGCCCTCCTTTGTCGTCTCGGCACAAGGCGGGTTCCTGGGGAAACACGATGGTGCTGGGAACGCAGGGGCAGCAGGAGGGGAGGCCAAACGTGAGATGGACGCTTCCGCACAAAAAGCCACCGGCGGAGTCTGCAGGGCCGAACAGGGATGCGGGGCAGGACACTGGGACGTCACTCACCCGTGGGGTCCCCAGGACTCGGCGCCGCCCAGTGGCACGTCACACACACGGGACCCTCAGGGATATCTTACAGATTGGTAAACTGAGGCACAGAGAGGTCCACTCCCCAGCCGCTCCCTGGAAGTGACGGCGAGGGTCCGATCACACCCGCCTTCGGCTCAGACCCCGCGGGCTCCTCCCGGAAGCCGCAGGCCCCGCCCCCGCCGCGCGCACTGTTGCCTGACGAGTCAGTTACTGCGGGAGGGGCCGCTCCGCTGGCTGTTGTTAATAATAATCATCATTGTTAACGTGATCAGGATGGCAATCCACAACGGGCGGTGAGTCCTACAGTCAGACGCATGGACGTGTCCCGTTAAGGAAACACAATCTGAGATTTGCTTTTCTTCCAACACCCACCACGCTGTCTGTGGCTGAGGGGTTCAAACGAAGACAACAGCCCTGGCTGGTGTGGCTCAGTGGATGGAGCGCGGGCTGCAAACCAAAGGGTCGCCAGTTCGATTCCCAGTCACCGCACATGCCTGGGTTGTGGGCCAGGTCCCCAGGCTATGGGGACCGTGTGAGAGGCAACCACACACTGACGTTTCTCTAACTCTCTCCTTCCCTTCCCCTCTCTCTAAAAATAAATAAATAAAATCTTTAAAAGAATTAAAAAAATAAAGACATGCACAACTGTCCCTGAGC